CGATGTTTGTCGGCATCGTCCACTCATGCCACACTGTGTTGTGGGGCGCGGGCTGGTTGTGAGAATTTAAAATGAAAGTGCGCCCTCCATTCTTTGTTTATACAACGAAGATTTCTCTCGTTCACGGTTGATCTCCAAATCATGTTTAGCACAGCGCTGTATCAAAATTGAGGCGCAGATGATACTCAAATGCCACTAGTGATGGCGATGTCAAATCGATTATCTCGGTAAATCGATTTTTTGAAAAAAATAATCGAGAAAATCGAATCGATTTTTTGTTGCCGATTTCTAATCGAAATCGATTTTTCGAGCAGGAAACGAATTATTGAAAAAGTCAAAATGATCTACGTTCATGTGGCACAAAAAGGCCTAAATTCTGCGAGACCCGAGTTTCATTTCAAGGTTCAGTTTTGATTTTGGCGTTGAAGGTGGATTTTTAAGTGTTATAAAATCGATTTCGGAGGAAATCGATTTTTCCTAAGATCGATTTTTTCCATCCGATTTTAAAATCGAATCGATTTTTTACCGAAAATCAAATCGATTTCCCGAAATGTATTTATTCGAAAAAATCGCCATCCCTGAATGCCACGCATAGGCGCAGCTATCCGTGCGTAGTGGATTTCTTGGCAGTATAAACGATGGATTGAAGGCGCTCTGTCATTTTGGAACCTCGCAGTTCAGCCCGCCGCACAGTGGATCGTGTCAAATGGGAGAAGTCGGACAAAATTTGGAAACTTTAAAAGCTCATGACTCAGCTTATACAAAACTTTGAGATTTATAAAGTGGTTCCATTGGTTTCCTCATGAAATTGTCCTCTAGAAGCACCTTTTAAAATTTAAAATGTGACGAAATAAACATTGCGATTTGCAGTTTTAGTCAAAAATTTCATGTCCGACCATTGATTGACTCGATCCATTGTGCGCCACCGCGGGTGAAGCGATGAGAAGCCAAAACGCCTTCATCTCTGTGGGTGTATATATATATATACACACACACACATATTTGCCTGACCTAAGAGCGGCGAATGTAGCTGGCAGAGTTGTTTCGTGGATAGGTAGGTACCTACCTACTCCGAAATCAAATTTTCGAGCGCGTATCCCAACATATTTGTTTTTGTGGAAGAGTTGAAAAGAAGTCTAGTCAGAAATATAGGTACCTACATCAACCAACGGTCAGTTCAGAACCTGATGAGGCAGGACCTAAAGCTTGTAGAAACATTATCTTGTTCTTGATACCTACGTTGGATACTGATTGCTTCAGAGCCATTGAACCGGAGCACTAGCAAACTGGGTTCATAAAGCGCGAATCAAAGACGAAGTATTGAAAGGAAGCCACTCTAAAGTTCCTCACATCAAATCCTGGTTAAAACGTTGAAAAAAATCGAGTAAATTTTTCTTCTTTGGTTCTCCTCCATTTGTATGTATAGGTGTAGGAGGCCACGCCCCCTATATATAAGCGCTTCGCGGTCCCATCCCCCAAAGCGCTTCGCGGTCCCATCCTCCAAAGCGCTTCGCGCACCTCTGCATGGCGTCATACCCTACCTACAACAGTGCTGTAGGTAAGGATTACTCTTATAATTTTATATTTTGGAGTAAGATTGGCGCCTTACAACAACCGAGGGGGGCTTTTGCAAGGAGACAAGAAAATAACATTTTTGCTGATAGAAGTTCTAAAAAACCCTAATATTTAGACCACAACAGCATCCCCATTATTTTACAACCAGCCACGCCACTATAGGGGGGGGGGGTAAGCGGCAAAAAGGTTTAAAAAACGCCTGAGCCGATAATTTTAATAGCAAAAGTCTTCATTGTTCTGTATGTTTCCTAGAGCAAAACAGGGTTGGGGCCTTTTACATAACTTACTTTCACCGCCCTATAAATTCTCTTCTTGTTTTCAGGTACTGCTTGCATATGCTCTCAGCGTAAAAGTTTATTAAAGTAGGTGCCTACTTGATTTTGAAAATTTTTCAGGGAAACTATATTAATGTGGAGAGGAGGCAAATCATAGAATTTTCAAAAAAGACCGTAGAAACGAATTTATACGTGGGTTTTTTTTCCCTCTCTTCTCTTACTCTTCTTTATTTTCCAGTTTTAATCCATTAATTGCAATAGGTATAGGTAACTCATTTGAAAACTGTTAACTTTATAAAAGAACTAGCGACCCGTACGTGCTTCGCACGTATGAAACATACAATCAGAGAAAACAGAATTCATCTCACAATAATCAATAATCAGTAGGACATGAATCGTTGCGATGTATTATACGACATTATAATGCGGCATTTCTATTATGATGCATTATACTGGATTATAGGCATTATAAATCATTATTACCACGTGGGAATGAAATGTTGCAGAATGAATTNTATATAAGAGAAATAGCATATTTGCTCCTAGCCCCTGAAAATTTGATTGTTGCCAATTTCTGGACGAGGCTTAAGTAGTACTATTTAGTGATTCTATTATCTCAGTTTTACCAAACGATGAACTTGTGCCCGGTTGATCCTTTATCGATAATGAAACTGTAGAAATGCTTATTTCCGTTTAAGGCGTTGCAGACTTTCTGCATAATTTACACTCTTGACGTTCTAAAACTAATTTCTTAAAAACCTTAGAGATTTCCCCTCTTTTTGTAAAGAGTATCTTTGAAAATTTCAAGCCATTGTACTGGGTTGGTCTCCTTCAAAAAAATAAAATAGGGTCAGAGATGTTGAAGTACAGCGACCAAGATATACAGTACAGAGTACCTACCTATAATAGTAATTATACTTTATTCTTACCCTCTTGGGCTTATAAAGTTACAGAGATTTTATTTTTCATGTAAAATATATCTAAATCATATTTTCAGTGTTTAAAATTTTGTAAGTAGATTAAAAATCTAAAAATTACAATGGCGCTACAGCAACCAAGACATATATATACTATTTGTGCAGTTATACCGTCGATATGCTTCATTGCTTCATCACCTAATTAAAGTCGATGGAAATATATAATAGCTGTTTGTATAAGAGCAGGAAAACCCACAAAGATCCACTGGTTCCGGTTTTTTCAGTGAGACTGCCAAAATGCTTACCTATCTTAGTTGCGTTTCGAAATCACTGCTCCTACTTTATTTTTTAAAAGAAGACTAAACCAACATCATGCCTTGAAGTTTTCACAGAATTTTCTTTTAACAGATAAAAAGAAATCACTGAAATTTTCAAAGAATGACATTTGGTAGTATTTCATGTAGAAAATAGATTATGACTGGAAGTCTGCAGCCCTGCAAACCAAGATGTGCATTGCTGCAGTTTCACCATCGATATGTGATTGAGAGATTATCTGGTATTATTCATTTTCATTGCCACTGTATACTTGAGTCTCTTTTGCGACTGATGTATTTCAATATAGGTTAAATTAGGACGTCATTCTTTGCTAGGTAGGTGTCTTCTATGACAAGATTCCCTCTAAAATACCTATGGGATGCTCCATTGCTCCATGCAGTTATGCAACTCTGCATACAGATGGCTAGGATCAAGAGGGGCATTATATACTTCTCATAACAACGCTGCAAATCTCTGCTCATGTTTCATTTCTTTCAAAAGCGAACTGACCAAATTTTTTTGAAATTTTCTGCGAAATTTCTTCATTTATTCGATAACAATCATCAACAATTTTCAGGAAATATTTTAGTTACTTAGTTTTCTTTGACGGAAAAAAAAAAAAAAAAAATTGTAGAAATTAAAGTGTTGCAATAGAGAAATGCATTTCTCAACTTAAGTCATCCATATAGCCTCTGGAGAAATTTTTCCCTCTCTCCCCTGTTTATCTATACTAGAAAGATCATGAATTTTCTCCTACTTTTTCAATTTCAATCATCCATGCTAATTCTTGTATAATTTTTACCCTCTCCTCTCTCTTTTTACAGAAAAAATTATGCAATTTTATTTGATCTCCCTTAGATATATACCAGTATTATTTGTTAAAAAGACATAGATACTATAAAAGACATTACATTGATTACTTTAGTTCAGGGAAAAAACGTTCAAAATTTGTATTGAAACCTGTGTAGTTCTAAACTGATGAAATAAGCATCTAATGACAGACTCAGTGACAAAAATTTAAATAGACCAAATTATGATAAAGATTCAAGATGATCTGTCCTTCTAGATGGATACCATGAGTATATACATAAAAAAGAACTGGCCAAAAGCCAGAGAAGAAAAGGAAATGAGTTTGGAGCGATTTACGGCGCTAGTTTATGAAAAGTCCAGGACACACCGAAAAAAAAAGGGAAGTTAAATTAACATTCTGAATATAAAAAAAGTGTGCGAGAACTTATGAATGCTGAATTACCCGCCACAGCACTTAATTTTACATCTTGGCATTGCTGAAGTAACTGCTGTGGCAGGTATTTTAGCATATTGTAAGTTCTCGCACACTTTTTTTACATGCAGAATGTTAAATTAACTTCAATTTTTTTTCGGTGCAAAGAAAAAAGTCAAAAAGAAGTAAAAAAAAAAGTCAAATTCTTGAGCAGCCACAATAGAAACCCCTCTCAACAGGTTATTTACAGTCAATGACTAGAGTTGAAAAATGCTAATCAAAGACTGCGATGATGTCAGTCTCCTGTGATGTTTTCTTTTATTAAAGAAAATCCACCACCATTGTACTTAAATTTTTTGACTTATTCTAAGTAATTATGCAAAATTGCAGGGTGATGTTTTGATTAGAAATCCTCGTGAAAATTGAAACATAATAATATATCAGAGATAATTAAACTCTGCAATTGAGGTAAGTAGTTAGCCATCCATACCTGCATTTATATGGTATTATTGATGAATGTTTCTATAAAGAAGATTTGATTTTTGTACTGGCTTGCAGTGAACATACATGAGTCATGAGTTTGAAGTTGAATAGAAAATAATTACTTCAAAAATGTTCTGTGGGTTCAGGTTGTTTTACTGAAAATAGAGGTGAAAAATATGCAAAAATGGAATTTGGAGAGATAAAACCTTCAGATTTTCTTGAGATACCTTTATTTTTATTTGTTCTCACAGGTTTTTAACAATTCAAGTAGACAAGTTATTTTCCTGATTGAGGAGAAAAACAACTGAGGTAAAAACCCACAGTTCTCTCTTACATTACAGAAAAACTCCTTGGCAAACTTTTAAGGGCAATATATTGACGTAAAATTACATTATATCTCAAAAACTATAACAACATATCAAAACTAACAAAAATTGAATTTTCTACCTTTTGATGACCACAAACTTTGATAGAAAGAGAAACAAGCGATTGTTATTCTACACAGGAGAAACTATTTCCAAACTAGAGTTAAATCATTTGCTTTACAAATTCCAACTCCGGGAAGTAAAAAATAAGATTCAAATAGTTAATACCTCCAAAATTAACTGGTGGACCATCAAAAGATTTCAAGTTCATTATTCCAAGAGGTCCAATTTAGATTGGAGAATTTTTGAATTCTCTGTCGCAGTAATCAGCAAATGTGCGATTAGAAAGTTTTGGGTATCCAGGTTCACCGGGGTAAACTGGCTCTCTACCAATATGCACGTGCCATCCGTGCTTTCGTTCCCAAGTCTGAAATAAAAAACAAAACCAGGTGACAAACAGAACATAATTGTATTTAACTTCTGAACGAACAGCCAATGCCAAAAGAATATCTAGCACAGTTTGAAAGTGTAAAATACCATTGAAGTAATTTAAAAAAACGTACTACTAGTCAAGATGAAAGGTCACGCACCACAAGACATGATTCCTCATCAGCATTTTGTGCAGAAATTGGTAAACATGATGACAATTTTGGAAATCAACTCATGAGTGAAAATTAGCTGTAATAATTTGTGATTTAGCGTGCATACTAAGGATATTTAAAATTAAGTAAAATTCAAGCAATTAAACGCCTAAATATCTTTTCTCAGATCATGTTTATTACTTACAATAAATTGATCTGCAATAAACCTCTTCGAGAAAAAGTCAAAATCAATGCAGGTTACATTATTGTGTGCCTTACATTGTGAAGAAACCTTCAAGTTCCGAAAATGACTACATAGCAATTGATTTTCTCTTTCAGCTAATTCAATTTTTACAAGATGGGTAAATTCATCAATACCAATTCAGTGCTCTGACAAAACATTCAATCATGGACAAATGAAATTACCTCAAGCCGGAGTTAATGAATAAAGTATGGTTCTTTGGTTGGCAGGAAGTTAAGATTGACAAACACAGAGAAGGCTTACTCTCCATTCATGCATTGAATTTGGAAATTTTTGATAAGTCCATCATATTTTGTAAATTTGGGATGAAAAAACATACATTACATGGTTTCATTTCCTGTCTAGTAGCCTTTCAAGATATGTGAGACAATATGAGCTTTCACTAGGGGGCTGTGCATAAAATATACCATGTATCTGGGTTGTCAGTTTTAAAAATCTCTGCTCCCATTTTATTTATTTGAAAGAGGACAAATTAACATAATTCCTTTTAGTTTCAACAAAATTTTCCTTGCACAAAGAAAAAAAATCAAGAAAGTTTTCAAGAATTGACGTTTAGTAGCTTTCCCACTCAGAAATTAAAGTATGACACGAAATCTGAGATTTCGCAAACCGAGATACTAGATTCGGCAGTTTCACTGTCAATTTGCTGTTTCTGAAATAAGCCGGATGCAGTAGTTCCTTACTGCAACACGTATTTCAATTCTCTCTTACAAAAAAATACAAAGAATAAATGATCACACAAGTAATGATTACATCTGTTGATGTACATCTGAAACCACTTACCCCACGGTTGTACATAAAGTAGTAGGTTGCAACATAACCCGAGGCAATCAAAAGTAAAGCTTTTCCAATGAAAAAACGATAACATAAAGCTGTCTCACGTCCCTGAAAAATACACGAGTGATAATTTGATTTGAGAATGGTTATTCAATGTGCAGGGGTGCAGTAAGTTCCCAAGCATCAGATTTTGCTGAGATTAGGTGTTTTTCCTTTACTGACAAACAACCACTGAAATTTTCAAAGGACTTGGAACCGATAACCAAAGGATTTGCATGGAGGTCATAGAGTGGTAATGTGAATGGAAGAGATCATCATGTTCTGGTCGACGAGTGCCATGCACGGTGTGCGCCAAGCTTTGCTCACTTTTTCGATACATTTTCAATCCAATATGGCAATGTAGAATACATAATAATTCAGATCCAATTTGTTTATATTAGATGGCAGGGTCCTTATATATCGAAAACAAGTGATTATGTATCGAAAAAGTAACATGGCATGGCATAGGGGTCTCAGAATTCGGAACTTGGAAAATGCTCAAAAGTGGCGACAGCTCTCCCATTAACATATTAAGACTCTATGCACTTTATGGAGATTTAAAGCAGGCTATATTTTGTCATTTGACATGGTGACTCTTTAAGACCTCTCAGCCTTAAAACACTTATGAAATCCAAGTTCTTTCTGGCCAACTTTGAGAAAAGCAGCAAGGGCTGAGAAGAGAATTTTTCGGCAACATAACATGCAATATCTTGTAGAAATGTTGCAATCACCGAATTGGCAATTTAAAAGACCTCTTATTTCCTCACTCACACAGGCGAGAAGATAAAACAGACAAAAAGAATCTACTTCCTCTGAGTGATGATAGCGTCCAAGAGACCGTGTGTAAATTTTAAAAAATGCGCTTCTCGGCCCAAATTTTCAGGACATTGACATGCAGAAAGTTTAGTTTTAAAGTCATCATGCTGAGGAAGTTGCAAAGAACACCATATTAAATAATAACAAAATTTAACTGATACTAAATGCCTGGGTTTCTGTGCAGAATCCTTTCCTATAAATTGCAATCAGAATTTTTTCATTTCTTATACGTGGCATAAGAGGCATTACATTTGAAAATAAGCTTGAAGTGCGGCCTTGCCTCCCAGCACTGCAATAATTTTTGAACCCTATTAGAGGGAGAATAACAAAAAGGCAAAGTTGAAAAATACCTGCCACAATGAATTTCGAAATCTTTTAAAGTTAGGGGCTACTCATAAAATATATTACGCTAAATTTGAGATTTTTCGACCCCTCTCCCTTCGAGACGCTCTTGTGATGATAGTCGCATTCCTTTGACACATAAAAACAAAATTCTGTAATGCTTTCCGCCACCCTTAGAGCATTACATATTTTATGAATGGCCCCTTCTTACTTTGTGGTTGCTTAATACTTCTACTCGATACAGTGCTTATTGGTACCTCAGGAAATAACTTCATTGGAGTTATGCAGAACAGCTTGCTGGCATTTAAAGGACTAAAAATGAGTAAAGGTATGCAATGGATAAAATGAGAGATGTATTACACTTACAAATCGCTCTTCTATTCTGAGTTTATCAAAGACCATATCAAGAGGTTTCCTGTAGAATCGCCTTATAGGATTAACTAGGTCATAGTACAGTTCAGGCAGATGTGTGACTGGCTCATGTGGTGCTAAGCGTTGATCTTTCAAGAACTGGGCACGAAATTTGCGGTCCTCATCAGTCATTCCCCGAAGACGCTCTCTTTGATCAAAGAGTCTTCCTTCGATGTTCATGGGAGTAACGCCCCCAGTATCGGCGTTGTAGGGTACTTTAGACGTCATGATTGCAGGCGCTAAGGAGGAAAAAAAAATTCTGCATAGGTAAGTACCCAGGAAGTTTAGGTCACACCTGATAAGTTAGATTTTAACAGGAGCATGAAATGTAAGTGAAAGTTTTATTTTCCCTCAACTTATACATTTATTTGAGCCTTTTCTCACTTTATTAGCAGTTATATCACTTTGTGGTGAGGGAAGAACTTTTCCCCTCTGATTCAAGAAAAAGAATGAATACTTGGGGAAAAGTTACTCCCTCCGTGAAATTCATATATTTGTAGCCATGAGCTTGCCTAAGTTGGTTGGAAATTTTCTCAGACTTTAAACTAACACTGTCATCTTGTAAAAATTTGGATTGAGGATCAAGAAGAAATGAGAGATATCTGATGGTATCAAGTTATGAATATCTATTCATCAAGGTTCTACATAATCTTTTTAGACAAAAATAAAACTTTAATTAAAGCTGTAAAACAATGACTTCCTATGAAAACAACATACAATTTCTGGCAGACACAATGGGGAGGGTACCTGGGAGACAATATAAATTAAGAATTTATGATAACTATCATTTAGAAGGGTTGTTTTGTATAAAAATACATTACGGGAGGTCATACACCAGTCTGTCATCAATATTTAATTAAACATTCGATAGAATATTTGAGGGGCTTGGAGGACAAGGCGCTTAAGTGCAATTTTAGAAACTCTAGACTAGAGATTAGCGCCTAGCAGCCTCAGCTTCGTGCCATAGCTTATTATGCTTGAACTTCAACATGTGAGATACAAGAAAACGACTGGACCTCACTGATAAAAGCACAGTAGATAAAAACAGGGAGAGGCGAAAGGGAAACAGAAGTCCAGACCATTTCATGCTTTACCATGTTGGAAAAGGAGGGATGGAAATAAAAATAAAATCATGTGCTCAGCAGCATGTCTTTGATCAAAATTGAGCTGTGGGTGTTTTGCAGTAGTTGAAGGTAAGTAAGGTCTATCAGAACACCAATCGATTTTGCCTGGAAGACATTTGACGCCGAGAAAACAGCGCAAGTGATGAGTGCATTTTTTGTTTGGAGTGTGACCTACCGTCGCTCTAAGCCCAACTGCTGGCCTCAAGTTGGCTCAACTGAGCTGAAAATTTCAGAAGACGTTCATGAGGGTGTGAGACACTTATAAATTTTGAAAGTATTCAGAGCACTCTATGGGTTTGAGTAAAATCCAGAACTTAAAACTTCTTTTTTTCGAAATAATAAAAACTGCACTTAGGTGCCTTGTCCTCCAAGTCTTTCAAGCCTTTACCTCTTTCGATGTATGCTCAGAATAGGGAAATACATACAACAAAAGTGGAAAAGTAATCTGGAATGGGCTGTAGTTATAACTCTGGCAAATTATATTGCCCAAGTGAAGTGACCTCAGGACCTAACAAAGTAACAGCATCTTTCAACAAAATACTCGGGGTTCCAATTGAATTTTGTTATTAAATCAACTCTAATGTAATGTCCACTCCATTCAATTCAACAAATGTAGACATCTGATTGTAACTTTAAAAGGACTTGGATTAATTTTAAAAATTAACACAGCCTCTGGAAAGGCTGATTGAAGTCCTACTGCACGAGGCGTTTGGGCTTTCATTGATTCATTGTTATTCTCCACCAGAGACACATCGACCTGCTGATTACTTCAGAAGGAAAATGATATATTTAAACTGCAGGGAATCATAATCCGAAGGTACTTACAGGATGAAAAATTCGAAGGACGACCTCCGGCGATAACTTATAACTCTTCAGCAGCCAATAACCTCAAAAAATTGTAATTGATTGTTGATAATAATTGATAACATGGTGGCAGTGAGCAGTGACGTCAAAGATTATCTTCGTGAAAGAGATGATGGTTAAGGTGATTCGATGGACGCCATATTTTGTGTCAGAACGGCATGCGATATATCGCATCAATTGGTTCCATATTTTCAGCTACTCGTCATTTTTCTCCTATTTTGAGATCGCACTTCTGTTGTCAGGAGTCTAAAGCACTCACTTACCAATTTTAACAAAGAAATTCAACGTAATAAAGGCGTGGTTTTTTCTGAGAGAAAACATCGCATTCGATACTGATATCGAAACTGCACTCGAATGCGATATTTTCTCTCTGAAAAAACCACGCCTTTATTACGTTGAATTTCTTTGTTAAAATTGGTAAGTGAATGCTTTAGACTCCTGACAACAGAAGTGCGATCTCAAAATAGGAGAAAAATGACGAGTAGCTGAAAATATGGAACCAATTGATGCGATATATCGCATGCCGTTCTGACACAAAATATGGCGTCCATCGAATCACCTTATGAGCCCATGGTCAGAACAGTAATTTTGTCGTTTGTTATGAAATTGGTCGAATAAAATTGCTTCACAGTCGACCAAATTGTTCTTCTAATCAAAGTTTGGGTGTGAAAAAATTGATGATTTCTGAATCCGACAATCACATCCTGCACTACACTACCTGCACCTGTAATCTCTACCAAAGCACCCCTCCCCCCTTCAATCGATCTACACTCCTCACCTCGGTTTTTTTTCTTCATCTTGTTTTCGTTTTGAATCTGCTGCTTCTTGCAAATCTGCCAGTTCTTACGCTTCTAAGTGGTGATATTTATCCGTATTAATCAAAAAGTTTGTCCGTAAGTGGAATGTGCGCTTTTTACATTAACTTCACAAGTTAATAACCTTTTAAATTAAATCTGCCAGCGTCGTGAATTTGCGTTACTTATTCCAAAAATTAACCCCTAAAATTTCCCACTTCCCGGTAAATTTTTCTGTTCTGGCCTAGCCCTGTCCTTTAATTCTCGTTCATTGTTTTTAGTACTTATCTGGCTCTTTTGCCCTGCGTCATCGTTCTCCTTCCAAATTACGGTTTTGCTTCCCATTGTGCTATTTACTAGCTTTTAAGTTCATATTTTGGCCCTTCTGAAGTCCCTAACCTCAAACTTCAAGTCTTCTGAGCAAGTAAATTTGACCCTAGAATTACTTGGGCACCGTCTGTGCCATTTGTACAAATCTTGAAAAATTGTCTTTGTATATGCCCATTCATTTCTCCCATTAAGTTATGCCATATTTCTGGAGGTAAACTTATGTCGGTAACTTGACCTAACGCTCCTTATTGCTTCACAGTGGAAGCGACTAAAGGCAGCTCAGATATCATTACTGCAGCTATCGAGAAGACAGAAAATTCCCCATAGTAACGCCATTCCAAGATTTTTTTTCAAATTTAATACGCACCCAGCAAATTTTAACCAGAATTCTATCTATCTTATGGTTGATTACAGAGCTGACCCTGTTGCCGATTTGATGATTGTATAAATGTAGTTTATTTTTGCATCCCTATCTGTACAATATGGAAGTACATTTTATTATTTTCTGGATTTTATCTGCTCTTGTCGTATTGTTGTGGCTCTTTTTAAGGCCGATTTATTGTACATGCATCTACTGACTAGTTGGTTCTCTGTTGTGTCAACATTCTGTTTAGTTTACATGCTAAAGCAATTCCTCCTTCCCTCCCAACTTTAAACTCGACTCGCATTCATAGAAAATGCAATAATCAATTCATCACTTTTAATCTCACTAAGAGTTAATTTTTATTGGGTTTTAATCAAATTTCATCTTTCTTTTGTAGAGTTATGGCGGATCACGAAGATGAGCTTTTAGGTGATGATGGCTCTGCTATGGAAAACGGTAATGGCCTTCTATCAGGATCTCTAGATTGTGAATTGGAGCAAAGTCTCATCGATGGTGATCAGGAACGATCAGATGATGCTGTAAGCTAAACTGTTTTTCGTACTTATTTTCATTTTCGGTGATTGCAGTACCTCTTATTTCATGTGTGAGCGGGTCAGTTTTGCATTCTGTAAGCCCTTAATGTAATCATCTGCCAAGCCAGATGAGTTGACACAGATTATGAAGATTCTTTGGATCTTCATACAATGGACCACTAGATAAGGTACGAATTTCAGCATTCTGACACATGTTGCTCAACCAAAGTTTCACGTAAAACACGATGCACACAAAGAATATTACCGAAACTAACTCCTTATGAAGATACTTAATGCTTCTTGATGCGTGAATTAGAACCACCCGCTCATGAAAACTCCATGCTCTACGTGATTCACATTGCGCTAAACGTTATCATGACAGTCTACAATATACAAATCTGGCAACCTCAATCTTGATGCTTTGGCTCAGCTATAGAAAATTGCTAATAGTTTGAACAACACATGGTGGGACATGAACATTGCTCGACTGAGAAGCTTGCTAAAACCGCTGTAGTGCGCGATCTGATTCATGTAGAGCTTTGAGTTTCTTGGGAGTGGGCAGTTCAAATTCCTTGCAACCCATGTAAAATAAAAATGTTAATATCTTCGTTAGGAGTTCGTTTCAGTAATTCTTGCTGTGCGAATTGTGCTCTACGTGAAATTCTGTCTAGAAAATATGTATCAGAATGCTGAAATTCGTACCTTGTCTAGTGGTCCATTGAAGAGAATTAATTGGAGATCCTAAACTTAGTTTTATCAGTTTGTCTGCATCACTTGGATGAGGAAATCTCCATGAAAAACTCACATGGAATTGCGTTGCATTCAACAAAAAAGAAGCAACCCATCTACAGTGTTGTATAAATTGTGCATCATCGTCTTTATCTAGTAAAAAAGTAAAAATGTTTTTTACTTCTAAAGAATTTTCATTATTAAAGGGAAACAATCTTGTATGTAAATTTGATTAGGCACTAGTATATTTTAAAGCTCAGAAGAAATCGTATGATTTTGAAAACTTTTAATTAAGGTGGTCTCCAATAAAATCCGATTAAATGAATGAGACCGATAATGAAATAAAGGACTTAGGTGACAAAGTGCACATTTTTAAGTCATGGACATCATTGAGTTTTTTTGAACTAATTGATTTTTATTTGGGGTGCCTCATCATTACACCCCCAGTTATTTTACCTCACCTACGTTGCTAAACTCTCCAGTCTACTGTCCAGGGGATCGTCAGATTGCTGGATTTGTTTACACTTGATGTCGAATACATTAAGTTGACAAAATCTTCCATATTTCTCAATTTTCTAAACTTGCATAACAATAAGTGAACAGCAGGCCCAAAATCCGATCATATTGCCTGGATAAAATACCAAAAAAAGATGTGAAATGAAGAGAAATGAGGCTAACTTCACTGCTACGTCACTCACAGGTAGTCTCCGACCTCGAGAGACAGGAGAGTTGGAAAGCTGTTCAGAGACTGACATAGCGGTACGTAGCAGGTCTCCGGGAAATTCCTCCGAAGTCCAACAAAGGATGTTTACATCTCCGGGTAACTCCAGAGAGTTCAACAAAGCACCTCAATTCTGCTGCAAATCAAGCCCCATGAGTGGTGTAGATTGTGTTGTGGGCCGATGGTTCTCCGGAATGATGCCTCTGGCAATTTTTTTTAACTGAATTTCTACATTAAATGGTCAGAAAATCATTTTAGAATGCTCAACCCTTACTCAGCTCAGTGGGTTAGGGAGAGAGTACAAATTATTAGTTCTTGAAAGTCAGGCCCATGAATCCTAAATTGTGATTTGGTCAGAAGTTAATAACCTAAGGACTATGATCGCAATAAAATTCTACAGAGTTCTTGAAGACTCACTAATCTATTTTCAAGCCGCATGTATGAAACAGAGCAGGCATCTTTTGCAGCACTCTGCCCCTCCCCTAACATTTACTACAACTATTTGCATACAGTAAGTATGCTGTTTTTGCAGTGCCAAATACAGTGCATTGAGAGTGCTATTGCGTTTGCGGTTGCATTGCAAAGATGGATAGGGTGGATTCACTTAGGCGCCAGCACCACAATGGCCCAGCCCTCCCCCCCCCCCCCCCCAATTTTTAGGTGCATTTGGTGCATGGCGCCTAGAGAAGGCAAAACATCGATTACTTGAATATTCCTGGTATTTCACCATTCTGTTTTTTTCTGTCGTAGGAACTTGCCGCAATCAAAGCGAGAGTAAAGGAAATGGAAGAGGAAGCAGAGAAATTGAAGCAGCTGCAATCAGAAGTCGATAAACAGATCCTTGGCAGTCCCCCTCAGAATAGTAAGTTCAGTTTCAAAGCTTGTAGCAGATCTAAAATCATAACACAGTAAGTTGAAATTTTTCAGCTAACTTGCGTTAAATATCATCGTAAAGCTGAAAATCTTAATACAGAGGGAAAAAGCTCATATGAGCACAATTTTCCCTCAAAGAGATACGCTGTTAGGTGCAACACCAGTAATGAATATTCAGAAAGGCAACTTCAGATGCGTTCCGGGTCTAATTGGACCCATCCTCAGTGCAGCGCAGCCTCTTGAATTTTCTGCTACTAAATTTGGAGAGGTCTTGAAAAGCAGCCCGACACTTGGGCAAGCAGTCGCTGGCGGCAAGTACTGATGCACCAAGGATGGGTCCAATTAGACCTGAAACGCGTTTGCAGTCTTGAATGGTCGATACTAGTAGTGTTGCACCAAACAGCGCATCGCTTTGAGGAAAAATTGTACTCATATGAGCTGTTTCCCTCTGTATTGAGAATTTCAGCTTTATGCTGATTTTTGACGCACGTTGGCTATAAAATTCCATTTTACTGTCTTACGACTTGTGCGTCTACCATAATGAGTTTGTAAAATCATAATGTACATGGACGAACTATGGATACATAAATATGATGATGTTAGTTTTTTCTAATTCTGTGTGGGAGCACTGCAATGACACTGTTATGTATGAAAAAATTGCTAATCCAACCTTAAAATTACAAAAGTGGTGAAGTTCTCTCTTCTTTATGCGAAATCTTTGGTTTGCAGTTAGGCGGTATAGTTTTTTAGCCATCTAGGTAATTGGTTTTTATAGTGGAAAGGCTTAATTTTCTGCTTACATTTACTTAATTAAAATTGAATGTATATCCTTTCAGGACTGAAAACTAGCCGAAGTGTGTATTCCAAGTTTTAACTGTGCTCTCTTCCTCTTGTTTCAGGTAGTTCTCTCAACTTATCATTAGAAGAAAAACAAGAAATTGACAATCGATCAATTTTTGTCGGCAACGTATGTACCTTTAATTATTCAAATCTGAAAGTCCTTTAACTATTAACTACATAATTGATTTGAGTTTTTAGACTCAGTCATGAATGTTTGCACAGAAAATCGTCCCTCTAAATCTTAAAAAATGCTAGTCAAAAACACAGGTTCATTTATACCCACCACATATTTTGTTCCACCATAATCAACTGAGAATAGAAAATAGTACAATAGAATTGACCCTATAGTCTTTTAGGATTATTTTCTGCATCAAAAATATGAAACTTGTACCTTGCCAAGTTGATCTGAGTCTTTATTGTTTAATTGGTGGTTGTTCCTGGCTGAAATATTCGTGGTTTGCGATATAGGGCACAAAAAAGGGCCATCAGTTTTTGTGGGAGCACTTTTTTGGCTCGCTCAAAATTGTAAAAAGCAGGGAACTTTATTGACCCTTGCTATTTATCTCAGAAAATTTTCCTGCATGTGTCACCAATTTCAAGTGATCTTTGAAATTAAAGAGTGTTTAACAATTCACATTTTTCTTACCCATGTTGTAGGTGGACTATGGTGCAACAGCCGAAGAACTAGAGCAGCATTTTCATGGTTGCGGTTCAATAAACCGTGTCACTATCCTATGTAATAAATTTGATGGCCACCCTAAAGGCTTCGCATACATTGAATTCACGGACAAAGAGTCAGTAGTAACAGCAATGGCCATGGATGAGTCATTGTTCCGCGGACGACAAATCAAAGTTAATCCTAAAAGGACGAACCGACCAGGCCTTAGTACGACAAATAATCGTGGCTTTGGTAGAGGTCGGCCACGAGGACGAGGGTTTGGAAGGGGCGGCTTCTATGGTGGATACAGACCTGTTAGGCGAGCGAGGTATGTCATAATCTAGATACTATTTTTGTCAATTTTTCTTGAAAATTCAGCTGGTAGTAAATAATTAAATACTTGCAGGGGTGCAGGATCTTCCAAGCTTCCATGTTCTCACGAGGTCTGCCGCCGGCTTTCCACATTTTTCTGGTTGCCTTTCCACAAAACTTCCCCTCAATTAAAGAAGTGATCACCTTTTTTTTTGGCTGCCCGAATTTACAAGCTTTAGTGCGCAGTGTATTAAATTGATCCAAAAGCAAATAAAACCTGCCATTTATGATGCATGGCTGTATCAAGAGCGCATATAGCTCTCGAAATGCTATCCTCCTATCATTATATTGCTGCTTTGGGTTAATTTTATCTTATTACTTGCATTCATTCAAAGAGCACACATGGTATCCCAAAATGTGGAAAAGTGCGGAAAATGTTTCGAGGTTGAGAGAGATAATAGAAAAGACACGAAGAAGCGCACATTGTGAAAATATGTTGAAAATGTCATATTGTTCGATATCCTTTAACATCAGTAGCCTATTCCCTCTACTAACAATGCTTTTCAGTCAGTGAGAAAATTATGGAAAGATTTCAGGCTGTAATCTGTTAAAACGTGGAAGAGCCACGCAAATACAAGAATAAGTTTTGAGAGGATTACAAACAATTAGCAATTTTTGGGTCCTTCCACTTTTTGCATCATTTTTCCACTTCTTTCAATTGACTTTCATCCAGTTAGAGGAAATGTAGAAAAGTCCTGAAAATGTGAAAAGGTTTCCACAATTTCAGGTTGAATTCCATAAAACTACTTAAATCGTGGCGGAGATGTGAAAAAAGAGTAAGTTGTGAAAAGATGTTGAAAAAAAATCCAATAAAATTTCCTGGGTCCTTCCACATTTTGCATAAGCTTTCCACAACTTTTCATCGGCTCTCATTCAGTTGGAGGAAATTTGGAAAGCCTCCCGTACATTTATATGGAAAATAGAGAAATCCTCAAGTCTTTTCCCCAGTGGCGTGGCATGCTTGCGATATATCATTTGATCTGCCTTTTCAGCTTATGGAAAAGGATCGATGAACAGGGTGTTCGCAACAAACACCTTAATAATCAATTCTTTACCACAGCTTCTAATGGGGAAATATCGACAATTGATCGTTCACGCCACGCCTCTGCTTTTCCTGATCGTAAAACGGTAAATTCATCAAAGACCACCACTTCCCTCTCTATGAATGGTTCGAAATTCCCTGCGAATCGCGTTGTTCAAGACTTCCGCTGCAACGCGCTAGTATCGCAGATCCCTATGCGGACTGATACAAAGATGTGCAGCATTTTTAATCCTTAAAAATTTTACCTTCTACCCTTATTTTTTTGGTCTTTCCATTAAACCGGGCGCGTGATCGGGCATTTTCTGCACCCCTGGAACTAGCGGAGTGGTTGAATCCGTTCAGTCCAATGAATTTCTTCTTAACCATCATGATTGTCCCCATACACATGAATTTTAAAATCTTGCAACTCAAGGGGAAAAAATTGCTTTTATATTACTTAGAAAGTTGTGACTCATTCAGAGAAGCTCGTTTTTGGTTTTGTTTGCAATCCGTCAATTCAAATCTAAATATCATGTATGCTCATTCGGTTTGGGAAAAAATAACCCAGACATTAAAAACTCCTCAATTTGGTCCGTCCATTGTCATTGAATGCCAATTTTAAGATTAGAGGAAAATTTGTTGGTAAAGCCCTGCGGTTTATCAAATTTTCCATTATTTTAGTTTTAATTTGAACCCTTGTTTGTCAAATTCCTTTTCAAAATTAAATTCATCAAAGTTTTGCATGTGTAAGGAATTGGGGTCAACAAAGTTGAAATACATCCAGATGTTCGTATTATAGAGCAGATATAACGTCTAAAATTTTACAGGTTTCAATTTCACTTTCATTGATAACAGTTTTAAAGTAAAGTCTGTGAAAATGCATAAAAAATTTAAGAACGTAGTCTGAAGATGAGAACTCACTGAAGAAATTTAAAATGCAGAAATAGAAATTCGTGGATTAGTTAAGGGACTTTGTATATTGGGTACTTATGCCCCCTCCTCCCTCTAAAAAAGCCAAAAAAAGTATAAGCTCAGCAATTCATTCTTATGCTCAAGTTGTGCTGGTCATGAGTCGTGAGCCATGAGCATATTGACGGCTTTGAGGACCTCTGTTCTCACAAACCGTTCAACATGAGGAATCGCATCCCAGCCGAAATGACGCGTGACACTTCCAGAACCTTTCGATGTCGGTCAAAACGACTGGTATGGCAGGCAATGTGATAATGAATGTTAAGTGAAGATGTACTCAGGGGTTGACCTAGATCAACATGAATCATTTACTATCCGTATTATCTACCGTCATTTAACCAAGGAATGAAGAAACCCCTGTGTAACTTTTTTCAGTTTGAGTATCACTGAAAATTCTAATTTAATTGCTTTTCATGTTACAGAGCATATCGGAGATCATCGTACTTCCCATACTAAGTAATGCTGTGTTATTATTCCAACAAGTTCATTCGATGTAAGTGTCTGAAGAAGATTTGACTCAACTTTTCTACTATATGTATGCAGTAAATGAATTTATGTTTACTCTGTTTTTTATGCGTTTTTTCTGTTGGTTTTATTTTTTATTTCAGTAACTTGTATTTACTTACATGCTCCAATTTTCAGTGTTTTTTTACCATGTTTCTCTCACAGCTAAGGATTCCTTGATAAACTCTCGCTAAATCCTTTCCCACCTGTTCAAAACCTATTTCTAGAACTGCAGCCGTAATATATTGCGCAAGTAACCTTTGCTTGCATTTAGTGTTGTAATTATACATTGTATAGAGGTTAAAATTCGCATGATTAGGTTGATAGTCTCCTATTCCCCGTTTTAGGAATAAAAATGGGTTTTGATGTGTATCTATTTATTTTACTTTATTAAATTTATGGCATCTTAATGTACAGGCACTTACTTTTCTTCAAATGATTTCTTTATGCTCAGGGGCAAATTTTAGGGTGTTCTGTATCTTGAACTTGATGGTGCGATTACTCTTGCAAGAATCCACAAATATTCCAAAAACGATCAACAATTCTCAAAGCCTTTTCATGCACAAAAAAAGAAAAATTAACTACCCACATTATCTTGCACTGCAATGATCATACATAATGAGATTTTATCAATTTAATCCATAGCTTTTGAGAAGTGTTCTCTCTCTTATTTGTCATTTGCCCCAGGAAGGAACGCATCTAAATTGCGCTGTCTCATTATTTCTATGTTATATTTTATTTGTTCATAGGAAAAATGTCGCATGAAATTTCTTGAAATATCTAGTGATTTTTCTTTACCCCTTTAAAAACAGACTACATAATTTGTGCAATGGTTCTCCAATGCAAAAATGAAATGTTTGTAAAAATACTGAAAAAGCGCAAACATGATTCTTTCCTTTTGTACCAGAGACAAAGAATCAATTCTTATTTCTTGTTTATTGAAGAAATTTTCATCTCGTATTATCATTCTATTCATTAGTTTGCATTCTATTAAATTTCTATTTTTCATACCAGGAATAAACTTCAGATCAAATTTTTTTCTCAGCAAAAACTGAAATGCATGAGAGAAGAGACGCCTTTGTTCGAAGCAACAAGGTTTTGCTTTTTTTTTGTTTTCTTTGCTTGATTTTGAACAGTCAATGAGAAGCAACATTCAAGGTTGCGCCTGGAAATTGTGTTTCCTTTGATATTATATTTGCTCTTATTATACTTAATCAAAATAAAAAATCAATAATTAGAAGAATACATATGTCGCAGGCAAATAGTAAAATCAGGCATTTTGTCAAATGCCCAGGCAAATAGTCAAATATTCTAACTTAGATTGAAGTTCTGACTCTTTTCCTAATTTCAGACAAAATAATTCATTGCTCCTGCAAGAAAAAATTCTCAGTAAAAATTTGCACACACAATAGTATTTTAAACACTTTTTAGCTCCTAAAGAGACACTGATCTTGAAATTTTTAGCATATCGTAAAATACAGAATTTTTGGAATTTCAAAATTTAAAAATATGAGAGGCAATTGAAGAGGAAGAGACAAGAAGAGTTCGTATGTTTGATGAGTTATTTTTCCAAAAATAGTGAAAAATCATGAGCTCTTTGCCATAAATTCACAATATTTTGTAGACCGTCAAAATTTGACTATCTGCCTAGGCATTTGGCAAAATGCCTAATTTCACTATTTGCCTGCAACATATACGTTGATAATAAACCGAATTGGCGACACAGCCTTTATAGTATCAATAATCAATAATAATTATAATAAACCTAAATCCATTAATAATTATAATCAGGTAGAAGGACATTTTCCCGCCAAGAATAGCAGGAAAGTGGCACAATGCATTTAATGGACAACCGTCGGTTCTGTAAATAGCACAGCTCTACAATCCGGAACAAATAAGAAAAAAATACGATTATTGTTTGTTTTCCCCAACTGTTACGAGTGTTGCTTCTGAACAAAATGCATTTAAGGGCTAAAGAAGAAGTGAAGTAAGTGGGTTGAGTATAACAGAAAAACACCATGTTGCAACATGTTTGAACTGAGAAAAAAAGGTTTGAAGTTTTATCCCTCGATAAGACTCAATGTTGAGATGAAAGTTAAACAACTGTCTTCAATCAAATTATTTTTTCTCGGCTGTTGAATTCAAATCTGCCTCCAATTAATTTTTTCAAAAATTTGATTCTGTGCGTTTCTGGATGAACTTGTTCTAACTAGTCTTTTGATAAGTTCGGTTAAGCCGAGATGTGCTGATCATAGTGATGGTCTGTTCTACAAAGCATCACCATCAGTTATGATTGAGTATATTAAACAGAAAATTATAGAACTAATGAGATGAACATCCCCGGAATATTTGTAGTATCGTCTCTGTAAAAGTTTCTCTCAAGCTCATTTAATGAAGTTTTCAATAAAAAGAAAAATGCTGAACACCTTCTTTTCTTTAAAAACTTACCCTTCAAATTGATCCTTGAGTTTTTCTACATACCTATAATTTCCTGTGAACATCTGCAAATTTTTTAATGGGATAAATCCTGATAGGACAAGGATGCAAATTCAGAAGGTAGTCAGTGAATTGAATAAATTTTTTGAATAACTTTTGCCGAGTGGACTGAAAACAATTGAGTTATCATTAAATATACTGCTTTTTGACTGTTTTCATTCAAAGTTGCAAGTAAATCACATATCAGGAAGAAAGAAACATTCCTCATTCTCCTTCCAAAACTCATTTTTAACTCTAAGGAAACTGAGGGGAAGCACCTAGCTGAAGACAGTAAAGGACAAAAAATACCGTTGTGAAACCTCATTTAACTTTCCTCCCAGAAAGAAACCGAGGAATCCTCTCCAGTTCCACTTCTAGTTTAGTTCCCCTTGCACTGTCAATCGGAGCTGCAGAAAAATCCAAATTACTGGCCATTCGCCTTGATCAGGTGTTGTTACTTAACTTTGAAGTTTCCAATTTGCCTTTTAGACAAAGGTGCGGTTCGATGGCAAAATGCCTAATTTAGCGGCAAATTTCCCCACTTTAAAAGTTAAAAAGTTACTTAAACTTTTTTTGAAAGTTATAGCTTTACGTTCACCACGATTTGCGAATGGTGATCTTGGGCTTTTTCATCAACCCTGCAGTCCGTAAATTTCAGTAAAGGCAGATCAATGCTCTTGGAAAGAGTGTAGGCATACTTAATTCTGCATTTTAAGAAGGTACACAAATCAAATGATAAAACAATAAGCATTTATAGATTTTTGGCGCCAGCTTCTATGCCGCAGGAATAGTGTCAATTTTTGTTAGTTTAGAAGTAAACATGCCAGTTGGAACCGATGTTCTAGCATCTAAATTTTGGGTTGTTCATGTGAAGTGGCAGCACCACTTTTAGTAACTAAATGGATATTTTTTTGAGGGGCCCAAAGTCTAAGTTTGGAGAACAAACGGGACTAACTGCTTTCCAACGTCTGCTCAATCTTAGGAGCCCAAATGATGTATGTGTCTGGAAAATACCCATTGAAACTAGACTCAAAGGATTGAATACAAGCTAAATGGAAATTTTTTTTGGTTTTCTCGAAACTTGGAGTTTATGCTTGGGCCCCCAAGAACAGTATCGGATCCATTGAAATCCTGCGATTTTGCTCCTAAATGTGAACAACCAAGGAAATCCATCTGATGTAATGCTTGGTGTAGTGTAAGTAGAAGGTATTCGTCAAGGTATGATTGAATGTTAGGCAGTTGTAAAAGATTGTGGCTGAACTGATTTTGAATTAAAAATTAATACCTACGTTCATAAAAACCGCCTTTCTCTTATAATTTCTATATCGCAATGAAATATGATCTTTATTGATCTGGTTGTTGCCAATTTAATCCATGAATAATTTGCCTTCTGCTAAAACGTCATATTCCTTTCTTTGGGCTTCAATTGCAGTATTATTAACTGATCGTGAGTGTGCCCAAAGAAGTTTTTGGAAGAAGAAATATACATTTTGAACTTACTGGAGTTGTTATGGCGTCCGATATTTGTGTGTTGGCTGGTGCTGCTCTTAAAAATTAATTCGGACGAGGAAGACAATAATATTAAAAATAAATAATAGTTTTAGTTCCTAGACCTGAATTACCTGAAGTGAAAGAATAACTCACCATGACATGCATTATTTCCAATGCTTTATGAGGCATTAAACATTACTTCTTTGTTTTAATGTTAGTCTAATGCTGCGCTATTTTTGGGTTGAGAATTTTTAAATCCACAGGTAATTGAATATCCTCAGGCAAACACCAAACTGGACCAGATTGATATTAGAGGAACTAACAGAAAAACTAAAGAAAACTAACTTAGGAAAATTCAGAGAATAACATTAAAGAACATGGGAACCACACTGAAGCATAAACATAGCGATTAGTGTGTTAAAAAAGATGCTTCCAAGTGAAATGCATAAAAAAAGTAAAGTAGTAAATAAATTGCATCCATAGCTGTGCTTGAAATGACTTTCAAAGACGGTATCTTAAAGGGACATTTGCTTTTTTATTCAAACTTGCTCCTATCATGTCTTATGCAGACGCTCCTTCTCTTGAGAGATTACTGCGTGTACTTACCTACTTTACAAATAGTTCTCAGAGATTTGTTTTTATTTCATTTCTTAATTTCATTCTATTGTTTTATGCTGCAGCTGAAAAAGATTTAGTTTCTGTGCAAAAAAGCAATACAGAGCTCTTTTTTTTTTGTCTTTTATGTATAACTAGTTTTTTTCTAGAATTTTTGTTCTTTATAAATTATAAAAGTTTTCATTTATTAGCCTTAAAATTGCAAGTGGTTGAATTTTGTCCTACAGCATTACTGGTGTCGACTATTTTTTATCCAGTTTGCTCTCATGTGTGCCTCTGATGGGCATTGACATTTTACAAAATAAAACATGCAGTCATCCATGGAGTTTTTTCAATTCGTCTGGTCTCCTTAGTCCCCCCCCCCTTCTTTTTGAAGTGAATCCAACACCATCATTTTATTATGGGTTTTCAGCTGACTACCATCTGTTAAAGTTTAAGTGGATCTTCAGCACTTAAGAGATCGATCTCAAAGTTGGACAATCTATTGATAAAATCTGAATTTTAAGACATTTTCTTAAAAATCTCTGGGCTTTCTATCACATTGTAGTCCATCAGGTTTTTGCAGACAAATTTTGACGGAAAAACACTTTATAATAACTTGAGAAGTATCCCACGTTCGAGTGAATACGGCAAATTAGTTGACCTTTTGTTTTGCAATATCCATTAGAGATGTACTTCTGAAGCTATTTCAAAGTTTTTCTCAATCAAATCTTGTGTGGAAATACCTGATGGACCACAGTAATATGTATGCTCAGGGATTTTTTAAAAAATTCCCTAAAATCTAGACATTACCATTAAGGCACTTGGAAGACAAGGCAGTTTTTGCTATTTCAAGAAATATGTGTTTGAAGTTTCGAAATCACATGGATCCTTACGTCAGAAAGAAAGTTCAAATTGACTTTTTGATGCTTGAAAATTGGAATTTGGGAGCGAATTTTTCACAGATTACCTATGCATCAAGACTAGTTTTACTTGAAATCATTAATATCTCAATTTTTTCAAAAACCTCACTTATACGCCTTATTGTCTCCCAAGCCCCTCAATTGATACATTGACTGCTGAAATGTTTTCTCAAGTGTTGAGATTGGACTCCGAAAATTGCATTTTTGCTAAAATCAAGAATATCTCTTTCAAAATCTCATTCAGGCATCAAATTGACACTGACATCTACGTCATAAAATTTTTGCTATTGCAACTTGCTACTTGCCATTTTGCTTATGCAGTGTGTGACTTGCGTGCACCTTGTTAGTTTGTTAGTGGAGATAGATAAGTGTTAGATTCACACACTTACTATTTGTGTGATCCTCATATTTTTTTCTTCTTTTTTATAAACGTACATGTTCATTATTCCAAGAATTTTGAATCAGCAACAGCTGATATATGCTCTAGTCTCATGCAATAAAGAGATGAGGGTGTCATGGAAACATGGATTTTTTGCAGGCCATTTGTTTTTAATAGTTCATTTTTAAACCTCGAAATTCCAACATGAGGTTTCCAAATTTTTAGTATCTTTCCCTTCTTCCAAATTTCAAGTGGTCTGTTTAAAAAATGGCTGATGATGAAAGTTTTACTATGAAATTCAATAGATGTCTTGAGTGCGACTCCAACTGCTCAGATGATATGTGCGATAGCAATAAAACTTTTACCTGTTACCAGTGCGAGGTATGCTACATAAGTATCTAACCAAACAGTCCCCTCCTCTTATCTTGTTTTTTTTCTTCTTTTTTTCCCCCTGGTTAGTCGAGGGTTTCCCAATGCTTCTCTCTTTTAGTCAAGCCAAGATTAGTTTTTAGTGATAGTTTTCAAGAAGATTCTCTTTTTTTATGAGGGGAAGGATTTTGAAATGAGCAAAGAATGTTAAAAGGTTAATTTTCCGTACTCATTTGGAATGAGTCTCAATTTGTCCAATAATTGCCATGTTTTCCTCTATCTAAAACGCTGCAATTAACAATGTTTGATTCCACTTCATTGTAACCAGAGGTACCAAACAATGATTACAAAGGTTTTACATTTTTCTTTCCATGATTACAAAAACTTGAAATGATAAATTTTGAGGACATTTCTATGATTCAAAGTAGTTTTATGAAAATTTGGTGTGAAAGAAAGGATACCATCTTCCTCCAGTAAGCCGGTACAATTCATCAAGTAAATCTTCACCCTGCAAATTGATTACCTGCTCTCAATTCGTAATTTACATGCTTCAAACATCATTCCATTACTAATGATTCTTTTGATTTTCTGCAGCTTCTTAGATTTTTAAGCCGATCGTAGGTATAGCTTATTAGGTACAAGCAACCCACGAGATTCCATGACACTTTTGGATTTGATTAAAATGAATTACATGTTCTAGATGGTCAAATGCTTAGTCCAGTCTCCTTTGAGTTTTCTCTTGAAGTATCACGATTTGCTGACATTTCTCTGCTAGTTAGACAATACATATTTTATGTTCGCCCTACATTTCCCAAAATAACTTCCTATACTTGCTTTGTGGGATTTACTTGGGCATGGCTCAGCTTGTAACAACTTGAAGCAGGCTTAACTCCTGAAAAAATCTTTTGGCTTCGGCTAAAACTGGTAACATCCGAAGGAGACCTCAGAATTGGAAATCATCGTTCTTCTGTGTCTTTTCTCTTTCTTTCTTTCTTTTTTTTTCGAGTTGTAAACTTGTGGGGTCTAAAAATTAGTGCATTCAGAAAATTATTCTCCTTTTAAGAATACTGAACTTAAAATTAGCTCGGTGCCTAATTTGATTCAAGTATAAACTAATTCACTAACAAGGTAGAATATTGAATTCATGAGCTTAAAAAACACGAATTGGACTTTCGAACCAAATTTAAAAATTGTCAATACGCCCAGTGTGTTCTGCAAGAAATTTAAAGCATCTACTGTGATGCTTGATTTTCAACCACATTTACAGCATTTAAACACTTATCAAGAGTCCGAGTAGTTTGTTTGTTTGTTCAGCATATGGCAAGTTGAACAGGTTTTCCCTCATCCTGTGTATTCTGATTTGCAGGATGGATTTTTTTGCCAAAAAGATGAGCCTTGCAAGAAGAAAGCCAAGGACCCTTGCAAAAAACAGGACAGCTGTCGAGATAATAGTGACCAAGATGAATGCGGCGGCAACTCGTGCCCATCCAAGGGCCGCCGCTGCAGTGCTAATGCTGACATGAAGATCGTTCAGATCAATAACCCAACTGCACAGCGGAAATGCTTGCTCTCCAGCTGCGGCAAAAAAGTCGCCAAATGCAAGTTCCAAGAGCATGTCTGCACATGCCATCCTAATTGCAAAATTCTCAATGAGGACACCTCATTTCACATCTGCACAGATAGCCCGAAACGCCGCACTGTTCTCATCATTGCTCATTCAGAGCTTTTCTGGTTCCACGTTTACAATGACAAGTCCAAACAAACAATCTTTGCAGTGGTGCAGTGTCTTGAGAACAAATGCGAGGCAGACAAGTACACTTATACGATAAAGATGGACTCATGCACTGTTCAGTTGTGCTTCTCGCAGACGACGATTCCTTGTGATGAGGATTTCAATGAAGTTCTCAGTGGAGGAAATTGCTTCTCTGTACCCTACTGCTTGGTTCAGAGCTTCTCACAAGGAAAACAGTACCGTAACGGACGCCTTGTCATTTGCAAACGGGAAGAGGATTCTTACTAACAAAAATTTTATTATTTTTGAAGAATGTTGTTCAGTTAGTCGCTCTAATTTTTATCTTTTTTTTAGCCCACCACATGCCTCCAAAAAATGAAAGATCTTTTAAACTTAAAAAACTTTTTTCCTGCAGAACACTTTTAATTTATTTAAAAATTCATCGAATTTATTAAGAGAATTTCCATCAATCTTTTTAGATAAGTTACTCGCAAGTAATCATCGAAAACTTTTTTCAATAGATTGTGCACCAAAGATTTTTTTTTGCTTCTTTCTTCCTACCCGTGATGAAAAAACGAACCAATTTCAGTGCTTGACCAATTTGTTACTTTATTTTTCCTTAATAAAAAAACCTACGTGAAATTCTGATTGCTTAAATTTGCATCTTACCTAATGGTTCAATAATTGCCACATTTTTTTCTGAATACTGAGTACTTGAAAGATCTCAGTGGAATGCATTGAACACTTTTTGTATTAATGCATTATCAAAACAGACAAACAAAATTTAATTTCTTAAAAAAAAGTATTTACTTGCAGAACATTTTATCAAATAACAATATTGTGGGTAACTACATAACTATACAAGAGGTCGTGAGAACAACTAATGGTGTTTTTATTGCTAAAACATGAGATACAAGTGAACAAACTTTGTGCTGAGATGTGAGAAGACAGATCACTCTTAAATCATTCTCCAAATTAAAATTTCTTTATGAACTGAATTACAAAAAAGACTTCTACTAATCTTTTTTCGTAAAAGTATAAACTTAGAGGTCATAATACTAGACAGAACTGCACAAGAAACCAAATACACTGTGAGACTATTAACTCTGTAATGAATATGCTTTGCCCATGGGATCAAAAATTGTTGCAGTAGAACACAAAAACGCCTAGCCTCCCCAGGATTTTTCCCAAGTTCGAGTTGCAGGAATGAAAATTCTGGGCTTTTTTTCTGTTAAACAACACAAAAAAATGTATTCTTCTTCTTTTTAAATCGTTCCTAGTACTCAACAAGGACTCTTAATTGGTACTGTGATTAGTAGGTATTGACTAACTAAATATTTTTCTCAACTTCAGGAGTGAGATTTTGCCCTGGGACAAATCCCATGAAACGTCCCGGAAGACAAGGCCTGAGGTATTCAAATAATAAAACGAAATCATTCTGGTTATTGTGAAGGGACAGGTGTTGAAGAGGTCTGCAGAAAAGATGAAATTTACACTGATCTGATAACACAATTTATGGAGACTTAAAAATGTTTTTGATTTCAATGGCATAGCTCGATGAACTAACCGACCCATTATTGAACACACAAAGTGCTATTGTTGAGCCTAGTAGTAGTCCGTTCAATCTTGGTCTTGGTCAACAATTTATTTTTTGCTTTTTCTACGTAAAAGAAAGCATGTTTTGTGCTGATAAAAAAAAAGAGGACGAGTAGATTCAAAAATTAAATATTTGGATGAAATAATGATGAACTCAGAGTTTACCTTGATTTTTAAAGTAATTCGTGAAAGATAGGGAGACTTCAGTCACATAGTAACAGGATCGAATTCAAAGAAAAATTCTGGTATGAGTCCCTCTGCTGATTCATGTCACATGTTTTTACTGCCTTTTTTGTTTTCTTCGTAAGCAATAACATATCGCTGACAAACATTCAGTGGAGCAGCATATCCACCCGGATATGAGGAGTCTTCAAATAACACTTCGTACGGTTCATGTGGAGTTGATGGTATCTGGTTGATGATAGCTTTGTAGAAAGCAGTTGTTTGCGGATAAAGTGCCATGACTGAAAAGGAAAAATATCATTACATGGTGTCTTGAAAGTAAAATTGTGTCGCTACGGGAGCTAATTTGACAGACTACAGAAAGATTTTTAGTGTGTTTCCGAAGAAAATACACTATTGCATTCTCCCACGGTGTCGGACCCAGACCTGATACATTGTGAAGAGCACCGATCACGGGTCGTAGATCACGAAAATATACGCCATTCAAATTCATGTGTATGTGTATATATATATTAAAGATAATTAATGATAATTAAAGATGATAAATGTGTGTCACACATACACACCCTCTCCCTCTCACACATGTATATATATATATGAGGGTGTGAATGTATGTATTTCTGCCTTTTTAAGATTTTTCGCTTTTTGAGCAGTTATATCTTTCTTACTGTGAAAGATATTTTGACCAATTTTTTAACGGAGTTCATGAAACAATGGGGATATGATCTCCCTTTTGCTTCAAGAATATGAATGTAAAGGTTTGCTGATAATCTCCAACTTCTGTACTGCAACAAAACAATGATAGAGACGCCTAGCCACCTCCGAAGTACTCTGCAACGCATGAAGCACAACCTTAGCCCTTGATGGAGGAAACGCTTCAGTGGATTTGAAAGTTCAATTTGGCCATTACATAAGTTGTTTGGCAGGGCCAAAATTTGGTTGGTAGGTTTGTTGTTGGCCGCAAGTTGAGGCTAAAATGATGTCTTTGTTATTTGATTGCTGATTGATGGCACTATTGAAGAACTAGGGATGAATGGAGACTACTGTAAAATTATGCCTAATTTGCAGACAGCTTGAGTTGAGAATATAATTTTCCTAACTCATAGTTTAATATAAATATTAGGTTTTGCAACTTGAGGTTCGCTACAAACGAATAAAAAACGTAAGTTATATCACCCTTGAAGGCCACACAAGAATATGATTAAAAAAATTTTAAGATTACTCACTTGCACATAGGTATTTTATAATTTGGAGACGTGTTTGTTTCAGCCCTATTCTAGGGACAGCATCAACGCGACTGAGGGGTCCGCAGATTATAAAATACCTAAGTCCAAGTGAGTAATTTAAAAGAAAAGAAAAAATATTGATAGCCTACAAAATTTGGGCCCAGACAGGAAGAGTTGATAAATCAGGACTTACCGACAGATTTCTTCGGAAACAAAGCTTCAGGATCTGTTTCTGGATTTGCACGCATTAGAGGCAAGGGTATAACACGACGCTTACTGAGCGTATACCTTTCTTTTTGCACTTTGTCAGTCTCAACGTAAAAGTCTTCGATTTCATACTTCTTAGTCAGGTGATTGAACATGACGACTTCACCAACAATCCAATTCTCTCCCTCCTCACCTTTCACGAGGGCAGCCACCATGTCTCCTGGCTGAAAAAAGAGGAGCTCGATTTAAAAACCTTTATTTTCGGCATTTTATGTCTTTGAAGTTGTTTGACTATCTATGATCAATGAGTCAGGAGGTTATTTCTTCAAAAGTTTATGGACTTTTTCAGCGTATATGACGAAAAATAACAGGTTATCTTAATCAAGATACAGGCAATTTCTTCTCATGCTGGTTTAGCTTTTTTATGGATGAATCAATCCGTGGGAATCAGCCCCGAGTTACAGAATGCCCGAAAATGAGAAAATTCCATTACCTGAAGAGTATTTGCAATTTCTTAATTTTGCTTTCTTAGGGGGAAAATTTTCATAAAATTCTGATTCTTTTCCTTTTCTTTTGTCTTTTTAAAGGAAAAAATTGATTCAGTAATTTGTGACTGTGCTATGAATTACAACACTAAAAGTTGACTCCAGAAGCAGTAAAGCCTAAAGGATAGACCATTTGTTACTCTTTCCAAGATGTTTATGTTAAAAGAGATTTACAGAGAAAAGAAAAGGTTTATGAGTAATGACCACGACTTCTGGATAAATTATCTTGAAAACGTTCTCTCCTAGATTTTCTTCCTACAGCATCAACCCTTCTCCTTGAAAATATAAGAAAAAGCCTCTATTGTATTCAAAGGTAGACTAATATTTCAGGCCGATCATCCTGCAGCATTTTTGACTCCATTATAGCCAAGATTCTGCTGTAGAATGAAAATGTGTTAAAACAATATACCTTAGCCACATGTGAAGGGTCCGCAGGGATGGCCCCACAAAGAGGTGGGGGCTTTTCATTGGGTTTGCCAACCCACAAAGGTAATGTTTGACCTGAGCTCTGGAGCATTTTTATACTTGCACCTTGTCGCACAGTTTTTTTGCAACCTGCTTTCCTTGCCTGGAACAAAAAATGAATTTTAATGACTACAAGAAGAAAATTCTTAATTATATGAGACATTGGGAGAGAACCTCTTAATATTTGAACCAGGGAAAAGTTTTGTCATCTAATATGAAACAGTCTACTTCATCAAAAGCAGGAAAATGTTTCTTTTGGTTGGGGGTATTTGTTGCTTCATCAGATGCCATGATAAGAGAGGTAACACTTGCACTCATTAAGGGGTGCAGAAACTTCCTAGTCCTGCGATCATAAGTACCTTGCCGTTGGCACAAAAAAATGGGACTGCTGTAAAAGTTGGGAGGGCCAGCTTACAATAGCATTAAAACCAAGTGTATTTTCAAAAATTGCTGTGAAATTTGAGTAGTTTTTGTAAAATTGCGGTCATTTGTGAACAAGAACAAAAAGATAAAAGCTTGGAAATTTTTAGAAAAAAAAGGGTGTTTAAAATGGGAGGGCCAGTTAGGGAGGCGGGTTTTAAACAATCCGAGGAATACATTTTGAGACTAAACGAGACATTTCTACCTGGTAAGACTAAAGTTTTGGCAACAGAGAAACATTCGGTGATGAGGAGTAAGCACTGCTTTACGCCAACATGAGTTAGCTGTGCCTCGATTTTCAGTAAACCTGTGTTCGCTTGCTGTAATAAGGAAGTGTACTCTCCTCTGTTAACCATCATCTTCTGTATTTTCTCTGTTGCGCCACAGAAAAATCTGTGTAAAGTTCGGTGAGAGGTTGTCTCTTAAAATTTTTAGATACGAATCAACTTTCTCCATCAAATTTTGGGAAAAACAGGATGATGCCATTAGCAGGGTGTCTATTGGTATCCTGTCATTCAAATTCTTTACCTATTCAGTACTTTTTCCTTACTTTTCCGAAAATTAATTTTTTTGGCCATTCTTAAAAATCCTTGCTTGTTGTGTAAAAGATAAGACTTTTTCCTCACCTCACATGCATGTATTCGGATCGAGAAAGTGGAATGATGGAATGACAAACGAATGGATCGAAGAACACAAGGAATCAAACCGCGAATTCAATAAATGGAAATAACATACTCCCAAGGCTACTTTTTAGGGTTTATCAAAAAAATCTGGAATTTCCATACCTTTTCTGTACTTCTCTACCGACCTTTCAAAATCTGTGCTTTTTTAGTGTATGCGTACTTTTTCCGTACAGTAGACACCCTGCATTAGTTTTACCTAAAATGTTGGTTTGGACTAAAAATAATTGATTAGGAGAATTAAGAGAGGAGGAAAACAACATGACAAATTGAAGAAAACATTTACAAGGGAGCTGTACCTGAAGTCTGTGTTCATTGTCGATGGATCTTATTTCATAAATCTTGTCCAGCGCCTTACGAATCATAGCCTCCTCCTGGTCTCCATCAGCCAACGCAGTTTTGTACAAGCCCTTTAATTTTTGCTATGATGAAAAATGGAAGAATCAACAATTAGAGAGAATAAGAAAGTGCTAGCATTGCAATGTTAACAAAATTGTGAAACTTCCTGTATCTTGCAAGTAAAATCTGAAAAGTTAAAATGTTTTAAGAAAAATCATACCTACTAGGTATTTTTAAAAAATACTTACTAGATATAATTAGAAACTTTTCCTAAGGCCAGGGCAGCTCCGACTCGAAGAAATAAGCGTTAAGGACCTTGAAATTTTGTCACATCCCTCTGTAGCTGGACCAAATAAAAATATCAGTGATACCTTCAATGAAGGATGAATATTGTCACTTCTCAGCCCATTGATTTGCTGATTTATTCCATACATCGTACGGTAATTATCAACGAATCTCTGATACAGGCTTGCACATGAAGCATGTTTTGTCTCTTTCAAAGCCCCGATAGAATCTCACTTACATTTGGTGTTGGTATTACTTGATAGATCAGTTTTGTGCTGATCTAATTTTTAAGGATGTAAAACTGATTGCAGGAGCATGCACGCAAGTGGATACACAACTCCAACATTTTTTTCTGATCTAGCCATAAAGCAGTAGACACAGACTTTTGAGGTCCTTCATGAACATTTTGCCAAATTGAAGCCATGCTAGCCTTTCATAAATGTATTTCCTTTGCATGCTATGGTAGTCATCACTACAATATAAGGTGCCTACAGTTTTATCAATAAGTAAAAAATGAAAGCTCACTGTGACTTTAATAACTGGCTCCTAAGGACTAACTTTGTTGCTATCTATCGGCAAAACTTGTAATTTTGCTACAAAGGTTGCACGGAGACTTTTGGCTCTCCCCTTTTAGTTTAGGAACCATGATTGTGCAAATTAGAATAAATCAGTATGAAAATAACTCATAAATGATGTGAATATTACCTGAAAGTAAGTTGTTAGTTTTCCCTCTTGTGTTACTTTATCGTGAGTTTTACTGATGTCTGATAATACATTTTCACGCTTCAGCCTGTCTTTCTCTATATCATGAACCAAATCATAGAGAGTTCTCAGTCTCTCCTGTAAGAGGAAAAACATATATTAGCAAAAGGAGGTATCAATGCTTAAAAATTTAGTAAAGATATTTGGATTGTCGATTCGTATTTCAGAAGGTTTAAGTACAATGATTAACGTAACTAAATAGAAATATCTGACTGGTGATCGAAACATCCATTTATTTTTTGCTAAGGAAAGGTCAAACCGAGAGAAGATAAATTTAGTAAAAATCTCCAGTACGAGATTCTGAAAACTTGAAGAAAACTATTGGGGACTTTAAAAAAGCCTTCATTTTCTTAAAGGGAAACAACTCCATAGACGGTGTTGATTTTAATTGAGGTCTTAAATGCCTACACACAGAACAGTAGAGAATGTCCCATCTTTGGGCACAATTCCGTTAGGTCAGTACAACCATCCAAGGAAGGAGGGTATCAGAGAGGTAAGGCTATCAGAACTGCGATTGCGAGTGGGCTGCACAACTCTGACAGTGAGCAAAAATGTATCTTAATGCTAACAACACTGCCGTTCACTACATAATACAAGTCCTATTCTCGTTCAAAAATTTACAGATTTCCATGAAATTTTGAGGAAATGTTTTACAAGATATGCAGAATTCAAAAAGCAAATGGGCAGTAAAAGGCCACGAGGGCACTGAAGTCCCTTTTCTACCTGACTCTTCATTTGTGGGAGACTAGTTATTTCAAACTTGAAAAAAATAGTGCGTAGCCAAGCTGAGAATATTGATTTCCTTGCAGCAAACTTGCTGTTTTTCTTGTTTCAGAGGAGGATTGACCAAACTTCTTAGCAAATCGTTACAGTGAGGTAAAAACCTATCAGTTTTCTTTTAACATGGAAACATACTGCTAGAGCAAAAGTTAATTTTGTCTGATGCTAAGTAGTAATCGGTCAAGAATTTTGATGAATATGGGTATATCGTAAAATTTAACTTTGAGAAAAGAGAAAAGTTGAGAATTGTATTTTAAAGAAAGTTAATTGAGAATCTTCATGATCGCATAGGAGAGGTCTGAAATCTGCTCCTAATTCAGGAATCTTCAAGAGATATTGGCATATTTCTGAGCTTCTCACTTCATAAAGTTTAATAAGTATCTCAAAGACAAAATTTGATATGGATTGGTCACTTAGGTTTTACAACTCAATGCAGAACTGAAAATAGCCGCAGTCACAACACAATTCCTCAGACAGAAAAACAACGCGTGGAGTTGTGCAACCAAGGAGACTCGGTTACCTACGTCATATTATGTCTTTGCTGTTGAACACTTTTAGAGACAGGAACTTGTAAAAAGTGGTAATTTCTTTCGAAGCTTGTGAAGTTAGGAGTGTGTTTACACTTTTCCAAGGTGTTCATTTTTCAGCCATTTGCCATGAGAAGCAACTTTTCTTCATGTCCTGGAAAATTTTGCGACAGACTCATTCCAATATAGAAATGATTATTGTTCCTAAATAAGTTACCTAAAGGTAGACATAGACTTCATTTTACAATTAAAAACTACTATTTCTGACTTATCTCAGAAACTGTTCAAGTGTCATATGTTTTTCTACGCAAATAAGTGCTTTTTTTTTGATGAGCTACAAATAGTTATTAAGTACTTTGGTATTGCAAAATGTAGTCCAGTTAGAGTTATGACCAAGTAAAACATAAAAATAGATGATAATACCTTGACTTGTGCTGCTGCAGCTTCAGCAGAGAATGCCAGCATTTTTTACCTAGATTGAATCTTCAGGAGTTGAACAAGAATCTCTTTGGAACACAAACTTAGCTGTAGAAAGGATGCGATACAGTAGAATAATCAGGACTGAAAAAAGGATCTAAACATACAGAAATAAAAAAAAAATTAATAGACATGGTAAAAATGGAAAAATAGAATGCAAGCTCAGCTCAAAAAGATACTTAAATTGAGGGGCTTGGAGAACAAGGCGCATGAGTGCAGTTTTTGCTATTTTGAGAAATAGGTACGTGTTTGAAGTTCTGAAATTACATGGAGCTTAATGGCAGAAATTTAAACTGACTATTTAATGCTTAAAAATTGGAATTTGGGAGCACATTTTTCTCAGAATATAATTAAGACTAGTTTTACTTGACATCACTGATGTCTTAATCTTTTAAAAAACTGCTCATATGTGCCTTGTCCTCCAAGCCCCTCAATTATGATCAATTGAGTGTAAGAGAAGGAGTAAACTTCATTCCTTATTCGCATTCCTTTTCAAAAAGCTCTGACTGGAATTGAGGACAGCCTATCTTTGATAAAGAGGTATAGAACATTTTCTGTTAGCTATATCTATTAAGATATGTCGTACCGATAAAGAGGATTATTTAAACTAGGATCTGACAACGACATATGCCTTTAGCTTCTCGATGATTACATCCTTTACCGGCACGACAAAGAAGACGAAAGATAAAGCTGACCAATGACATAACTCACTTCTCCTTCATCTTGTCTTGTACAGTCCCCAAGCGCAGAATTTCAACAATCAGTCTGCAAGACTGTCTTGAAGATTAGGATCAGTTAAGACGATAGATTTGTTCAAAAGGATTGGCCGTAGTAAATTTGAGTGAACTAAGTTAGCACTAGAATGCAAAGATATTCACTTTCCAATCAGCAAAACCTGCAAGGAAAGTAATTAAAATTATAAACTTACCAAATTGAAAATAAGAGCAGTATTTTGAAATAGCATACCCCAGCTCAACTAGGCAGAACAGATTCAGAGAAATAAATTGGAGCGGTAACATGGACAAAACTTCTGAAGTTCGAAGTTCTGATCCTGGATCTGACGGAAATTGTAAACAAACAATCCTGAGCGTTATCACCTGATGACTGGTGAGCTCCAAAAGCCGAACCGGCCGAATGCAACGGTTGCAATTCAAAACTTCAAAAGCTTCTAGCTTTCCTTCCCTTCCTCACTTTCCTCATTTATTTTTTCTATTATCTTGCTTGATTCTTGCATTGTGTATTCTTAAATTTTACTTTTATGCACTGTGGAACCTTCTTTAAAGTTATTCCCATCCAACAAGCTGGTGTTGTCCCAGTTCCATTCTGTCATCAGTTGTCATACGGACCACCTACTCGCTTGCTTTCTTGTTGCTATCTCAACTGCTGAAACTTAATTTGTAAGTTTAGTATTATTTACAGGAATTTTCATCTGATTTACTGTTGAGGACCACTGAATTGTTCTGTCAGTTGGTACTTGAAAACTCTGACGTTCCGAAAGTTTTATTTGCCGGAGTTGTCATGAAAGAGTCTTCCAATTAATATTGAATATTATCTTCTAACTCCTCAGCACAAAGCTTGTTGTGGGCTGCATTTGGTTTGCTGATCCACACTTCAGGACCGGTGAAATCATCCATGCCAAAACAGGTGATGCCCCTTCCTTGTATTTATGTTGAGCACTTTCTGCACTCACCTTAATGGAGTTGTCGACCTCCTGTAGTGTGGTGATTATAGTGCTTGCTCTAAAATTGGGAGATTCCGGGTTTGATTCCTGGTCAGGCAACCCGAGTTTGGTGGTCTCAAACAATGGTTACCTGAGGCTGGCTTAATTAGGGACTGAGGGGGGAGGGACACTAACCGCATGCACGGGATTACTTATTTGGAGGTATTTGAAGAAGAAAAAACTTTAAAAGGTTCCAAGTCATATCAATTACAAGAAATTAAATTATCCTAATACATGAGATTCAGCTCAAGCAACTCAATTGATCTTTTTCAAAGAGCTTAATGCTACCCATTAAATTGAAAATTGAGAAGTAAACGGTTTTTGTACTGCAGTGTCATAGATGCGTCTTGCTGGAAAATGACTGGTAGAAAAATGGGTTTATAAGTCTTTCCAAAAGCATCGTTAAAATCAAGTCCTTTCCTTAAAGACTTACTTAAGCACTAGTCATGAACGAAGACTGTCTTAATGTAGACAAGAGATGTTTCAAGGTGTCCTTTCTGTGCATTGTGGAGAAGGTGATGAATTTTACTCCATCCTTCAAATCAATATCATGTTTTTCTTACAATGTCACTCAATTTTTTTTTTTTCAGAAAGGATGGAAGACACAACAGAAAACAATACTCTGGAACTGTTGGAAGAAGGTATAAACTGCTTCGATTTTATAGAGGAAATGACATTGCTATCAGTGTAATCATTTTCAGTATTAGAACATTTTTACGGTTTTTCACGATGAAACTCTTGCATGCCACAGGGGGATTTGCGATCTTAGCATGCTCTCTCACTGTAGTAAAATTTTTTAAGATACTTACACAATGGCTTTCCACTTTTTTTCTCTGAGACAAACTAGATACCATGCTTTAAAAAGAAATATCTCCAAGTTGAAGACTAAATTGCGAGGATCGTCTCTGTAGAGAGAACTCACTCCTGTATCTAATCAAATTCTCCATGCAGATAAGGAGCAGAGTACATTATAAGCGCTGAGGCTGCAGCCTGTGAGTATTCGTACAAAGTGGTAACCTGGCTAATGGTTTTGCTCTAGATCTGTGCATGGATAGTTTGACTGGGTCAATAACGCACGCAATCCTATCCATTAGGTCTTATCACTCAACCCTAGTTATCCTTTTTTTAAAAGCATGGGATCTTGTTTAAGGGGAATTCTAACGGCATCATTGTGTTTCTTGCAAAATTTCACATTTAAGAAAAAGTACTTCAATGGCGAATCCCTGCGACAATGCGGCACGCAAGAGCTAAATTGAACCTCTAAACAAGAATGAAAGCTGTTAAACCATGTAAATGACTTTCTTACCGATCTTTAAAAAAACCTTTTTTTTTCACGATTGACTCAACCCATCATTAAAAAACTAAAACGTAGGGAATAATAATCATGGTAATGCCTTGCTTTTGCGTTCTTGTATGAACTAACACTTAATATTCGAACTCATATGGACCCGGATTAGTTACAACTAATAACATTTCCTAGATTTTTAGTTTTTTACTGTTCCTAAAGGTGGGCAGAATGCTCAAAAGTTTTATTTATTTATTTATTATACAAAACGGGCAAGTTGCCCAAATACAAAGTAAGTAATTAACAAAAAAGAGCAAAACAGCTGAACATATGATAAACTCAACTGACAAATAAAACAATCAAACAAAAGTACAATACAAAGAATATAACTAATAGGGAACATAGTATTTCAAAAAGAAGTCCTTGACCCTAGACTTAAACAGGTTCGTCTCCAGACTTGCATCAGCTAGCCCAGGCGACAGTAGGTTCCACCGCCTCTTTACTCTGACAACCACCGATTGGAAACGGTAAGAAGTCCTAGCGGGGTTGTCAAAGTTTTTTAAAAAACCAGTCAAAAAAAGCGATTTCCATTCTTTAACATGTGTGCCAATGTTGCAAAATCAAGATCTGAGAATGAAAGCACGGCAAGATATGTTTCTGCATCCAAAGAGCGACGCCAAGAATGGCACAATTTGGGCCAGAAGGGATTTTTCTGAAACCGGGCCCAAACGATACCTTATGATACCCTAAGACTCTGGTAAAAATTTTAGCTTGAGTATACGCACGGTTTTTGAGAAATGAGGGGGCAAAGTTGCCAAATCGCCATCATTCTGGACAGCATTTCTACAGCAAAAAGACGGGAAAAATGGACGAAAAAGTTACACCTTTGATGACTTTCGGCTGTATATGTTCTCATTGGGTTCCCAAGCATTTAACTGTGTTCAGTTTCAAAAATTTTGGTGGCACAAGGGTCCAAAATGGAGAGAAATCGTCGACAAATCAGGATTCTTTGTCAAATTTTTAGAAATGGAAGTAAAATTGTCGGTCTGCTGCAGTTTTCATGGCTAACAATGTTCTTATCGGTCATCAATGCATGAAATTGTGTTCAGCTTCACAAATTTACATCGCACAGTGGTCAAAAATGGGGGAATTAGTGGACAAATTAAGATCCTCTGTCAAAATTCTTAAAAATGAAGTGAAACTGTTGGTCCCCAGTAGACTTTAGATCCCGGAAAAATTCTTTAAATTCTTTTTTGACTATTTAAATCTTTTTTTAATGTTTTCTCTCCATTTTTACTTCTTTTTTTTAAATTTCTGAAAATTTGCATATTTTATTGAGATAATGCTACAAAGTCTATTCTATAACAACATTCTATAGACAATACGGTCTGACATGTAGTAACAATTAAAAAAATTAAAAACATGAATTTTTCCGGGATCTAAAGTCTACTGGGGACCAACAGTTTCACTTCATTTTTAAGAATTTTGACAGAGGATCTTAATTTGTCCACTAATTCCCCCATTTTTGACCACTGTGCGATGTAAATTTGTGAAGCTGAACACAATTTCATGCATTAATGACCGATAAGAACATTGTTAGCCATGAAAACTGCAGCAGACCAACAATTTTACTTCCATTTCTAAAAATTTGACAAAGAATCCTGATTTGTCGACGATTTCTCTCCATTTTGGACTCTTGTGCCACCAAAATTTTTGAAACTGAACACAGTTAAATGCTTGGGAACCCAATGAGAACATATACAGCCGAAAGTCATCAAAGGTGTAACTTTTTCGTCCATTTTTCCCGTCTTTTTGCTGTAGAAATGCTGTCCAGAATGATGGCGATTTGACAACTTTGCCCCCTCATTTCTCAAAAACCGTGCGTATACTCAAGCTAAAATTTTTACCAGAGTCTTAGGGTATCATAAGGTATCGTTTGGGCCCGGTTTCAGAAAAATCCCCTCTGGCCCAAATTGTGCCAAAAAACGGTCGTTTTTGGCGTCGCTCTTTACTTTTAAATTTTTATCAAAATGGGGTTGCTATCAGATAATTAGTTACAGAGGCACGCACGTTAATTGCAAGTGTTGCAAACTCAGAGTGTTTTTACTTCTAACTTGTTCTTCTTTCTTTGCTAAGCATAAGATTAGGAAAAAACGGAAAAGCTGTGCTCCTAAATCTTCAATATTACTTTCTCATTGTACTAGAATTTTTTTAATTTGTAAAAAAAAAAAAAAAAAAATTAATCAATCGTCTTGTTGGAATTGAAAATAGAACTAAAAGAGAACCTCTGCACCTCTGAGGTTTTAGAATGCAGATTATCAATTTTGACCAAAGTATGAAAAGTAGACTGAGGTCAATAGAAACACACTACTTACGTTGCATTTTGGGAAAAAAATTAGTTGGTAGTAGTTATGAACTCAACTGTTTGTAAATTTTCCACTGCCAAAGATTCCAGGTCTAGAAAAAATATTTTAAATGTGAAAACATTGAGTCTCATGGAGGAATAAAACTTCAAACCTCTTTTCCTGGGTTCAAACTTGATGCAACTTAATATGTTTTGTTAAACTCGGTCCAGATGTGGTTGCCCAAACTTTTACGGCTTCGTTTAATTGGCATTCCTTTACCAATAAAACAGGTCCATTTTTAAATATTTTTCATCCATTGATATAAGTTCTGAAAGTTTTGTGTAGGTATATATTGATCATGTTGTCAAACATTTTAAGAAAGTTTTTCAAGTGTACTTTTCTTATCTCCTCATCTTAGCTGTAACGATGTACCTTACCTACAAAAATGACATGTATTCTTCTTTTCTTTTGTTCATAGATGACTCTTTTCATGCACTGCGTAGAAAATTTAAACCTATGAAAAAGAAAACACTGAAACACTGGGAAACACAGGAAATATTTGATAGCACCGCTGATGTTTCTTCAACCTCAAATGCTGCCCCGAAAATGTTTAAACCACTAAAAAAGTTAGTGCCACAGGCTAGTGTCTCCAACTGTTCTAATATTTTTTCAACAACACAAATTTCTAAGGTCAATGAAACATTTGCTGTAGGTGATGGAACATTTTTCTCGACCTTCAATGCTGCACCAAAAACCTTTAAAATACACAAGAAGTTAGTACCACAGCCTATCATGAACTGCTCAAATGCTTTCTCACAAATTTCCAAGATTGATGAAACATTTGCACTAGATGTTGATGGAACCTTTGCAACCTTTAGTGCTGGGCCAAAAAAATTTAGACCTAAGAAATTAGCACCACAGGTGAATGCCTCCAACGCTTTTTCACCTTCACTTTCTGAAGCAAACCTGTCGAAGGAGGTCAGAAATATTACCAAAGATTCATCACAAGATTTCCCTGTGCCTGGTCACCCAAGGACAATCTCCAAAAGATGTAGTCGAATCCTTTCTTCTTCTGAAAAACTGCGCTGCCAGTATAAAACAGTTCACTGTTCCTTCACTAGTAACCCACCATGTATTGAGGATAAAGAACCTGAATCGAGCAGCTCTGAGGAAGATGTTAATCCTAATTTTTGTGATACTCCCATCTCCCCCATTTTTCCTCCCTCTCTAAACGATAAAATTGTTGAGGATCAAGAGAGACCCTCATCTTGCTTATCAATGGATAAATCATTTGATAGTAACCTAGCTGTCACAAAAAATGTATACGATTTGTCCGATTTTTCGGCAGTTTTAAATGACATTAGGAACACAACGAAGTCTAAGTCTAGAATTAGTGATGCTGTTGATAATGATATAGTCAGTGAGCCCTATAATGTAAGTGAGCTTAGTGGCTCTGAAGAATGTACGCCTGAAAATGTAAGAATATTAAAAAAATCTTTGAAGAAATCTACCAAAGTGTCAGCACGTGCTAATTCAGATAGTAGCTGTGATGTTAGACGTCTCAATGTAAGAGAAGACGATGAAAGTAACTTTATGGTCAGAAGGTCTAGTTCCTGTCATAAAAATGTAAAAAAGAAAAAATCTATCTTTACTGATCATGATCTGTCAGTTCGACTACTGACGAAAGGTAAAGCCCGAAAAAAACCTCTACCATTAATGGAAACATTCATAGAACACCAACCTTATTCACACTCACTAACAAAGATCAAAGGAAAAGAAAATATACAGATTGAAAGACCTGCGTACTGGGCTACGAATAAGCTTTATGAATTTTTAAGGCAAAAATTAGAACCGCGATTCGGTGAAAAATGGAAAAAAATTGCAGTAAATTTTGTATGTAGCTTAAGTGACTTGGTTACCAAAACCATAAATTGCCACAGCCTTCAAGAGAGAGCTCATTTAACTGAGATTCTAAAAGCAGATTTCATTACCTTAGAACTAGTAAGATGTGATTTCGAGTTTTATGACTTTATGATTATGTTTCTACCAGACGAATACATAAATATCACTGTGCCTAGCCTTCTTCCGTATACAGAAAAATTAAACGTTTTAAATTTTAAACCAAAAAATTTGTACAGGAGTTACTTTTAGTAAAAATCATTATTCTGAGAAGTGAAGTACTTATTTCATTTTTAAGCACTTTCGATAGTATTATAATAAGTGCTAGTCTGCCGTGCAAATGTTTTTTGTTTTTGTTTTATTATTACATCCATTGTATTTGACCCTTTTAAAACACCATTTCATTTTAAATTTGAATATATAAATCGATGGTACATATTTAAAATCAACAGAATCTGTAGAGAAAGCTGTGTCTACCTCATCTTAGACACTCAATCACAGATTTTTAATGCATTCAATACCGTTCAACACCTTACAGCTCGTTTCTCATCTTTGAACGTGCTTTAAACTAAAGGAAGACCAAGCCAAAAAGTGGCGGAAAAGTTTCATGTAATAAAAGAACTGTTCAACTTAATTTCCATGCTTTAAAGTAAATTGCCGAACGAGAAAGCTTGCTCTTTGAACAGCTTATTTTCGGCGGATGCAAAGATTTATCGGACATATCTATGCAAATCAGAACAATGTGCATTAAGACATGAGCCCTGAGACCCACAAGGACATATCGACGGTGTAAGTCGGCAGTCACATAACTCGGTTTGCAACATCGCAGACTTCCTGTCATACTTTATTTTTTAAACTGGAAACTACTCAGCAGCAATTCTCTAAAACTGCCTTGAATTTCCTTCTCTGTGCGAAGAAAATTCTGCAAAAACTTCAAGGAATGATGTCAATTTGTTCTCCTTTAAAAAAGTAACATTGAGGCGGAGATTTTCAGACACCGCAAATGAGTTATGTGATTGCCGACTTTCACCGTCGATATGCATAACAGGGCTCACGTCATAATGCACATAGTTCCGTTTGGCAGAAATATGTCCTATTGAACTTTCCTTTTAGAAAAGAATCCTGGTAAAAAAAAATCCTGGAATGTTTTTTTTTTCCTTTTTTAACTCAGCTCCTTCAAATGAAAGAAAGGAAACAAAACAAGTTTATTCATTTTAAATTCTCCTCATGTACTTCGAATTTTATTGTATTGTATTGTTTTTAATCAGTCAGTGCGTTCTATGTAGTGTATGTTGTACGAAAACATCCTGAGATTTATTCATGACCTGAAACATCTTTCACATAGGAAATACCCAATGAATTGTACCAAATTGTCCAAATCATAGTTTTTATCTTTTTCTAGCGATTTAAGAATGCTAACATTTTCGTAGCTGAGGCAGGGCCCAGCAAAAACTCTAAACAAAAGAAAATTTGTCTCTGTCTGAAACTTATGTGATTTTGTTCTATTGGTCTACACTGCTGAGGCCCTCAAATATTGTAATGAACCATGGAAATTTGTCGAAGAAAAAATTGTGATCCTCTAGAATAATCCTTCTGTTGATTAGTTCCAGTCATCTAATAATCTGGACATAAGGCAACTCTTTATCTTCTTAGGCTAATCAGGAGTTGCCTAAGTTCCTCTCATATTTGATTTTTTCAACAAAACTCCTCTGCAGACTTTAGTGTCATCATTCTGTATAGTATAGGGGTAAATTCCAGAGAGTTTCAAGACGCTATGTACTTTAGTTCTTTGTTAAAAAAACGAGACCTGAGGAGGAAATAAGGCAGTGTGTCATGCTGTCAAAGAGATTCCTGTTAAATTAGTCCGATGCTAATTGTAAAAATATCAAATTCTATTCAAATTAATGAAAGAGCACATGCTTTAACTAGGAAAGGTTTTAATTAGTGACTTTTTGTGGTTTTTTTCTATCCAGAAATGAGGAAGTAAAAGTTCAAAGCGTAGACACTCGCCTACCTAGTTTACAGTAAGAGGCTGACTAAAAGCTGTTTTGTGATTTAAAAATAAAAACTGCATGAAACCTTCGACAACATATGCATCCCAATATGTCCACTTTGTTTTTTCCCAGTTATCCAGTATTTTCTTATACGAGTAAAATTTTGTAATAAGATAGGTAAAGTCCTAGATCAAAATGTAAGTCAAAATACATTTCTCTTCTTCCCTAGCCAAAAGATAATCAAAGTACAAATCCGAAATATAGTGTTCGATTTCTTCGGAATCAAGTACCTAATCAAAATGTTTGAACAAACCATCACTGTGACCTTGTAACCTACATACTCTTCCACAGCCCACTGTCAGTTATATGAGCATCAGTATTTTCGCTAGTTACCCTAATAATTTTTGTTTTCATATTTCTGTTCTAAAAAATGTGTAGATAATAGTTATTTACTTTTTGTCAATCGTAGAGAAGACTGCCTTACATTTGTCCAACTCACTATAATTGAAAATAAAACTATTTTTCCACTTTAATGGAAATTTACTCTTGTTTTTCCTATCAACCCCTGAGTTTATCGTTTAACTGGGAAAACTTGTTTTGCCTTTGGTGGTTAAAAATTTATTCTCTTACTTTACTTGGAAAGAAAAAAATACCTATTAGTTTTAGAGATCATTTACAGATAAAGTCAATGAAAAGCAATTTAAAATTTCCTGTAAGTTTTAAGTAATGCATTCCAATAAAATGTGGCAGGAGGTTTCAACTTTTTAAGGCAAGATACATGTTTTCCTCTTTTTTCTGATGGATTAACTTTTGAGTGGCAAATTTTTTAAGCAGATGATAAGACAAGTTAGATGATAGTGAGACTTGCGTTAAACATTAGTGATTACCCCGTTCTTGAGAAAAAGAAGAGTGTGGCGGTTAATACAATCACGCTTTGGGTTGATTAAACTCTTGCAAGTATTTAAAGTGAATAATTGCTGTCCAGAGTTGAACCAGATTAGCTGAAACGAATAAGACAGAAATGCATTTTTTTCCTTCTTCTAGTTTTTCCACTGAAATAGATATTATATTATTTTCCCATCTAAATATTCATTATCATCAGCATTCCAAACTTTCATTAGGTACTTGCACTTTTGCCAATGTTTTAATTTTAAACCAAACATGAATATCTGTGGACAGTATTCAGAGGATCTACGTCTCATTTCTTTTTCTTATATACCTACGCCTTTAGGGAGGGGGGGAGGGAGGTGTTTCACAGGCATTGACGAAAATTTCGGTGGGATTTATTCAAGAGAAATTGCAAGTTGGGGGGGGGGGGGGGNCCAATTTTAAAGGGATTGGGACCATTAATAGTTCATGTTTCCCTCCTTATAGAAAATTAAATTTAAATTGATTTAAAATATCGATGAACAGGACTTTGCCTTGAGAAAATTTAAAAAAACCCCGCGATGTTAACGCAACGCTGCGCGCCAATCAGTGAGCGCGCTGCTAACTGCGCTATAAACACGTGTTTTTGTTTTGTTTAGGTGTGAAATTTTTAGGTTATCAGTTATTTCCTCCCCAAGAATTCTAATGTTTTTGACATACAATATTCCGCCGTCAGTTTAAGTTGGGCATTATTTCTGTTTAGATTTGTTTCAAAAAGGTGTTGAGCAAGCTCTTTCAGCTCATATAGTGAAATTTCGTACTCCGTGTGCACTTTAATTTTGTGTTTACTTGTCAGCTTCCACCCAGTTCCCCATTTACCCTCTAACATCATGGGAAAGAAGGACAAAAAGAAAGGCAAAGGAGCTGCTAAAACTGCTGCCAAAACTGAAAAGAAACAAGCAATGAAATTAAAAAAGAAGCTAGCTTCAATGGGAGAGGTAGGTCTCGGGATTTTTCAGTCTCACAGCAATTTGCCGTCTACAGCAAATTGCTCTAGAGTACAATAGCGTTGCAATGCACTGGATCGTTGATGAAGTCACTTTTTGACACTGTTTTGTCCAATACTCCTGAGACAAGTGTGCTGCAACATGTGTGATGCTGTATGTGGGGGGTCGAAGCTCCAAGCTTCGCTCAGAAAATACAGGCGTAAAATTAATATCCTGTAAACGGGGAGTTTCGTACATTTTTTAATTTTTTTACATTGATGGCTAATGTGAAAAATGGGCATCACGCCTATGCTTCAAAGTCTCCAATTGTATTTGTATATTTCTTTGAAAGAATACTACCCAATCAAAATTTTCTGATGACATAGTGATGAATATTCTTTAACGAGCAAAGAACATTTTAAGAAAAAATTATTGTTGGTTTTCTCTCCGAGAACTAAAACACAATTGACATCTTGCAACATCACAATCAAATTTCTTCTATAGCTATTCATACACTCTGAGGTGGCTAAGTAAATTGATTGGTACCTCAGATGGCTTCAGTCAAGGCTTAAAAAAAGCAGTAAGTAAGCAGATTGCCTCTGCACAAGACAGTCTGCTTTAATCATTTCTCAATTTTACCTTGAGACGGAGGAAGGCGGGGAGTGTTAACCAGTGTACATTTCCCTTTTCTTTTAACTGTATTGCCATGTCAAAATTTACATTCATTCCTAAATAAGAATATTAAATAAACCAGCAAAAATGCACTGGGGACAGTCTATCAGCATGTCCTTCTTTAAAAGCTGTTTGCTTTAATTTGTAGGGAAATCACCTTGTCTACTCTACGCAGGTGAACCAACATTTTTGACCCGAAGGCTCAATGCACTGGAACATCGACTGAGAAAATACCTGAGAAAACACATTGATTCTGAAGTTATCAGGAGTCCTGTTAATTTTTACTTGATTCCATTTTTCTGTTATAGGAGGACATAGAACGGGCGATTATGCAAATGGAACAAACCGAAGCAAATCGCAAGAAAACTGAAGAGACAGTCGTGAATTCTCCCTCGAGGAGAGCTAATAGTAGTTTCATTCCTCATCCAACAAAAGATGCTTTGATTCTCTTTGGCGGGGAATTCTATAATGGAAGTAAAGTGAGTACTCATGCCATCATATGTAGGTATAACAGTCAATTAGCACCAAAAATTCTATTTTTGAGTTCAGCAAGGATATTGAGGAAATCAATTGGAAGTGTTTAATGGTAAAAAATATGCAAGAAACAGGACAAATTTCAATGACCAGCCTCATTTTCTGTCAATATATCCACAGTAGAAGTCGGCAATCACATAACTCGGTTTGCGACGTCGCAAGCTTCCTGTCATACTTTATTTTTTAAACAGAAAACTACTCAACAGCATTTCTTTAAAATTGCTGTGATTTTTCTACTCTGTGTGAAGAAAATTCTGCATAAACTGCAAGAAATAATGTCAATTTGTTCTCCTTTAAAAAAATAACATAGAGGCAGAGATTTTCAGACACTGTAAGTAAACAAGATATCGTCACCTTCCAGGCAAAGTATCACAAGCGCCATGCGACGTTTAAAAATTTCCGCCGCCATTTTATTTTTTTACTGAGAAATTGTTGGTTTAATTCGTTTCGAAAATTTCACTAAATTTAATCGGCAGCACAAAGAAAATTCGGTGTAATTTTTGGACAGCTTCGTTGAACAATTTCTCTGTAAAAAAATATAATGGCGGCGGAAATTTTTAAACGTCGCATGGCGCTTGTGATACTTTGCCTGGAAGGTGACGATATGTGATTGCGGGCTTACGCTGTTGATATGCTCATTTTGTCCTCTTTAAGGAGAAACCTTTTGTCAGGTCCTCGTAATTTTACTTTGCAAAAAGTGGTGCTCACAAGGCAAGGCTCAGAAGCGGCCACCTTCTACTTTTATAGGTCTGGCTGTGATGAACAGTTGAAGGACTTGAAGGACAAGGCGCACAAGTGCAGTTTTTGCTATTTTGAGAAATACTTGTTTTAAGTTTCGAAATCACATGGAGCCTTATGGCGGAAAGAAAGTTCAAACTGACGTTTTGATGCTTTAAAATTTGAATTTGGGACCAAAATTTTCATAGAATATGCACTAAGACTTGTCTTACTTGAAATCATTAATACATCAATTTTGTCAAAAACTGCACTTATGTGCCTTGTCCTCCAACCCCCTTAGTTTAAGGGAAGCTGATGAAACGATGCCTTTCAGTCAGCTAATGGGCCCTCAAAACCCCAGCCAGGCACGAAATCTTGGTACATATCATAATCATCATACCTACATTGTTCTTTTCAGGCTACATTTAATATTGATTATTACCATAAAAGAACCTCTTCTCTAGAAATCCCTCCTCTTGAGAATAAATTGATGGGCCGCTATCAATAAAAAAAAAAAAAAAAAAAAAAAAAAAAAAAAAAAAAAAAAAAAAAACACAAAGCTTGCCTAGTATTAGTTTATCTCTTTGATAGCAGCTCACCTTCCGTAGATAATAGTTTCATGGACTCCTATCTTGGCAGGGAGGAGGTTTTTCTTTTTATAGGTACATACTATGAAAAATTAAGTGCGCAACCTTAAAAAAATGGGTCCCTTGCGAGTAACTTGAACCTCGGACCTCTCGATTGCAAGAGTAGTTTTGAGCCATTGTGCTACTACTGAAGAGTGTGATGTCAGTTAAAGATTATTTCTCATAGTTTGGATGTTAAATGGAATCAGATGGAACTCTCAGAAAAATTTTTGGGGTTTTTAGGGGTCCATTGGCAAAGACTGGAAAGCACTCGTCCATCAGCTTTCCTTAAACTGCTCATTTCTGCATACAGCATCACCTTTGGAAGCAGCCACTTTCTAGCCTCATCTTGCTAGTGTTAGTCCATTTAAAACTTGAAACCACCATAGATTAAAAAAGTTAGGATATTCTATTAGGTATCTAAATAGTTCTGTGCATCACTACAAGCATAAATAAATAATTATTTAATCACAAATTATTTTTGTTTTCAGAACACTATTTATGGCGATTTCTACATGTACAATCTGAATAAAAAAGAATGGACTGCCATTAAAGCTCCCAACCACCCACCTCCTCGATGCGGTCACCAGATGGTAGGCACTACAATAGATGGCGGTCAGCTTTGGATGTTTGGTGGGGAATACCTCAGTGCATCTTCCTCTCAGGTCCACCATTATAAAGAACTTTGGTTGTACCATATTACCAACAAAATTTGGCAAAAAATCAAGTGAGTTTATACATATGTTGAACAGTTCTTCTCGTGAACTACTTAATGAACAGAATCACAGAAAAAGGATGTGTCCCATTAAGGAGGGTATTTTGGCCATAACTTTGGTCAAAAATTGAAACAGCTTAGAATAATGTCATGTATGGTCTAATCGACTTTTAATCATCTACCCTGAGAGAACTTGTCCTTATTTGAGGTGTTTATGAAAGGTTTTTGCCTGATTTACCAGCGCAAAGTAGTGAAGTTTTGCAGTTTTCTCGAATAATTGCTCATTTTCGGTCCTAAATTAGATTGTTTATGTATGAGCACAAGCGACTACCACTTTCCTCTTTAAATATGTTAATCTTTAGTACACCCATTACATCATACCCTACTTAATGGGACACATCCTTTTACCTAATATTTGTTAATTGTCATCAAGATTAATCCCTGAAATTTTCATGGACGTATGTGCAAAAATTTTTACGTTTAAACTACAACAGTATGGAGATGTCTGGCAACATAGTGTCAATGTGTAAATGGCATTCATGTTCCTAATATTAGCATAAACTAACCACCTCTCTTGACTTTGATACTGCTCCATCCCTTGAGTCACAGGGGTTTTATTCCTTTTCAGTCCCTACAACCTATAAGTGAAATTTTGATTTAAAAGGAAGACAAATATTTATCCTACCCTCAAAGGGGGAATGCATGCTTCCAAATTTTCCAACCCGCAAAATCTAAACTTTTGGTTTTTATTTGTGAAAAAAAGTCTCAACTGTTGATCTCAGTTGATCATTTTTCCAATCCAATTCTTACATATTTTTCTTTTTTTATAGTGCTCCGAATGGTCCCTCAGCACGCAGCGGACACAGAATGGTCTTATGCAAAAAGCAGTTGATTGTATTCGGCGGTTATTATGATAATTTCACAAACTATATCTATTACAACGATGTGCATAGTTTCAGTCTAGAAGATTATACCTGGAGACCTATAGTTCCAAGTGGTAAGTGATTCGTCTTGGTAAGGGTGCAAAAACTTCTCGACCACGTGATCAGGCAGGTTGCGGCGAAAATGAGGAGGTTCTGTAATCGGTGTTTTGAATGGGAAAGCTGGCAAAATCGCGATTATTTTTGCAAAACTGTGGTAAAAATCTTGTTTTGTTTTTGTCCAATCGCGGTGTAAATCACGTGCTTCCCGCAAAATTGCGGCTTTTTATAGCACAGAGCCATAAAAAATTCATATTTTTGAAATTTTTGAAGAAAATGAGGTTTTTAAAATAGGAAGGCCAAGAACTTTTTGTGCCCCTGTGTCTAGGTTGGTTCTCTTGAAAAACACCAAACCATAGCTGGAATGATGTTACATGAAACATCTGAATTTAGAAATTCTCTCTTCAGTATGATCAAAAGTGCGTTGTCCAACTAGTGTTTTAGTTTCAAAATGAGAGTTATGAAGAGGAATTCTCCTTTAAGCTAATAATAACTTGAATAATAAAGATCAGGCAGGCAGCAACATTCAGCAAGTATCAATGGGACTTAAGTACAGAAAAACTCAAAATGACAATGTTGGAAAGTATCATTGCTCAGAGAAATATTTGACAAATAATTGAACGGATTCCACCAAAATTAGTGCAACTGCACCTTATGTTGCCTAATTTTCTTGTGTGTGTAATTTTGTTTCAGAGAATGAAATTACTCATTTCCTTCAAAATTTCTGTGAATTTACTCAAGATTACATTTATGAATAATTCATTGACAAAATGACAAATTTCAAGTTTAAATTTTGTTTAGTTTTCTACTTACTTATTTGAAAAATAAAATATCAGAAAATTATGCAGCCCCTGATGTAGTTTGGTGATTCCAGTTGAACACGTCCAATATGCCTAAAATTGTCAAAAGTCAAACGGAAACTACGATGGTTTTGAAGTTCAATGTTGAAAAGATGTAGTTAAAAGAATGCTAGAGTAACGAAATGTTAATCTGCTATGCTGAGAGCGCTTGATTTTCAGATCAAAATACAGCTTTATGCACGGAAAAAAAAAAAAATTGCTGATTCAACAATTCAATTGCTAAAAACAGTGAGTGCAATGTTCCAACGCAGATTTTACAACAAAAAAATGCTACTTTAACCACATTGTAAACTAATTTAACACGGGGGTGGTTAAAGTAGCATTTTTTTGTTGTAAAATCTGCGTTGAAACATTGCACTCACTGTTTTTGGCAATTGAATTGTTGAATCAGCAATTTTTTTTTTCCGTGTGCTCTCAATCAGCACAAAATTGAAGCTGTTACTCGCTACTTATATTTTGGAATACTTGAGTATTTTTTTTTAAAAAAGTTAAATTCGAAATTTTTATTTGACTAGTCGAATTTTCAATTCTATAGTAATTTCACCCTCATACATAGACGTCCCTTTCTCAATTAATGGTTGTGTACTGCTAATTCCTTTCTACTTTCATCTATGTATCTCCTTGTGAATAAAAATGTCCCACCAATGAAGGAGTAATTATGCACTTTTATTCATAGCTTCGTTGCAATTATGTTCTAAATTTATTTGTGCAGGCGTTGCTCCCGCTCCTCGATCTGGTTGCTGTATGGCAGCATTACCGGATGGAAGAATCCTTATCTACGGCGGCTACAGCAAAGAAAAAATCAAGAAGGACGTTGATAAGGGAACAGTTCATAATGACATGTTCCTTCTCACTCCTGACAGTAAGTTCTTTTTCTATCATTCTGAGTTTCAAAGTAACTTAAATTATCATATCTACGTCCTGATTTGGAGAGGGTGCATTTACATCTCAGCGACAAAAGCAAAAAAAAAACCCACCAAAATGTCTCGCCAGTGGAGTTTTAGAATTTTTTTTATTTGATCTACATAAAAACAGAGCACCACAATTGAATCGGTTTCTATTAGACGAACACAAGTCCAAAAACTCATGAGCCCTGGTTTTAGTTGATAAAGCAGAACGCTAGGGTTCATGAATTTTTGGACTTATTCCTGTCTATCAGAAACCGGTACAATTGCACCAACAATCGATTTTTCCTCAGAAACCAAATGTGATTGTAACTTCTTGATGGCATAACCAAACGGATTATTGTTACTGTAAAACCATCAGTATGAGCAGGGGTTCTGGTGGTCTGAAACCTAGAAAGTCAGAGCATTTATGATGACTCGGCGAAGTCAAGGAATTTTATGAGTATCAAAAGTTAACTCAGTAACATTAACAGGCTTTCAAGAAAGCACAATCAATATCTAAATGCAATTTTCCTGAATTTGAAACTAGAAGTGATGATTTCATCCATAGTTTAGCAAAAGTCAGTGTTATTAAATTAAAAAAAATTTGTAGAGATTTTGACCAAAGGCCAGGAAAAGTTAGAGAATTCAGAAATTTTGGAGTCACGGAAAGGCAAAAATAGTCAGGTAAAGTCAAGGCATTAAAAAATGAAAAAAAAAGGACAATCTCTCAGTTTCTTTCAAAGTATATTTTAATTTTTCTATTTCAGCAGCTCTTCATTTTTGATTGCTCATTTGTATACATTTTTTTACTCAGTACCGATTTGATACTCGCTTGATCTAACTCAGCTTGTAATGGTATTGTAACACTCCATAGTCCATTCCATCAATTCAAAATGCCTGAGCTTTTCCTTGCATTTTCCAGAAAATGACTCGACTGGCCTAAAATGGAAATGGGTGAAAGTCAAACCCGGCGGAGCTCGACCGCTACCTAGAAGTGGCTTATCAATGGCTGTGACGGTTCCTGCAACAAAAGCATATACTTTTGGTGGGGTGTATGATGTGGAGGAAAGTGAAGAAGACCTCAGCGGGACTTTTTTCAATGATTTGCATCTACTCGACTTAGAACAAGTGATTTGGCGGACTGGTATGTCTTGTTTGAACTCATAACTCTTAGATAGGTAGTTTTTCTTGATGGCAACCGTAGGGTATTTGATATACTTTTTAATTTAGTTATTTATCTATCTCTGAAGATTAGACTTTCTAATTTTAATTTGACAAGTTAAAGTTATCTCGATAATGATCATGATAAAGAATATGAAAACATGCAACTCTAAATTTGTTTTTCTTGGTTTAATATCATGCTAATAAATCTGGGAAAATGTTGAGAACTTTTTGCCTTCTCTTCCTCTTAAAAATTCAAGAATTAAAAGTCTCGATAAGAGACTTAGTAAAATTTAAAGTGTTTACGCTGCTATTAAATTTATTTCACAACAATTACAACCAGAGCCAACATTACAGAAAGCAGAAAGAAGCGGAAAATGTAAAATTTTTTTACAAATTTTTAGCAAATAGTTGTTTAAATACAATGGACCATTAGACAAGGTAGGAATTTCACCATTCTGTTACAAGTTTCTTAACTAAAATTTCACGTAAAATACGACACGCACAACGAAAATTACCGAAATCAACTCCTTCCGAAGATATTTAATGATTCTTGATGCGTGAATTCAAAGCACCCGCTCATGAAAACTCAATGCTCTACGTGATTCGCATCGCGCGCTAAACGTTATCATGACAGTCTCTGCAATATAAAAATCTGGCAACCGATCAATCTTGACGCTTTGGCTTAGCTACAGCATATTACTTATAGTTTGAAAACACATGGTGTGAAATGAACATTGCTCGGTTGAGAAGCTTGCTGAAACCGTTGTAGTGCGCAATTTGACTCACGTAGAGCTTAGAGTTTCTTATGAGCGGGCAGTTTAAATTCCTTGTAACCAATGTGAATTAAGAACGTTAATATCTTCGCTAGGAGTTGGTTTCAGTAATTTTCGATGCGCAAATCGTGTTGTACGTGCAATTCTGGTTAAGAAACATATATCAGAATGCTTAAATTCGTACCTGGTCTAGTGGTCCATTTGGCGAGCAGTGTAAATCCTGAACATGGAAACACTTTCATTTTGATTATTAATGTTTTGAACACTATGAGGACTAAACTTATCTATACAATATATGTCTAGTAAGTAACCTGCCACAATGTTCCAGGTGCATATTTCCCCTGGCACCATGTCCTCAGTGTGAAACCAAAAATAAAAATTCAATGTGGTTTTCTTTCACTAGGACCATGCCGATTCTGAGCCATAAATATATACATTACTCAGACTATCACTAGCCTCAAAGAAGTGTTCAACAGGGGCAACCACATTGTTGTGAAAACGAGTGGCATAGCGCGAATCGTGCAATGCCGGTCAATGTGACTGGCGTTGCTGTTGGTGGGTTAAAAAGGTATCTAGAGGTTTTTACCATCTTAATGTTCTCTTTCAGTCACTCTAAAAGGAGCCAAAAAAGTTGAAGGAGAGACAATGGATGCGGATATGGAAGAGTCTGAGCTGGAGCCAGCTGTTAGCACAGTCGTGGATGATGGCATTTTTAAAGTAACAGTTGGGCCTGCCTTGCCACAAAAAGCAGCAAAGACACCTGATCCCTCGAAACAAAGTGATGAGTTTGCCCCCAGTCCCCGCATGAGTTCTGGTCTGGCTATCAAAAATGGTGTTCTTTACTTGTATGGAGGCCTCTGTGAAGTTGGAGATAAAACAATTACGTTGTGTGATTTTTACTCTCTAGGTAAGCTCACAAAAACATTTTTTGTATTATGTAGAAGACTTTTCTGCCGTACTAAGGTTAAACGCCGTATGAAAATTCCAGAGTTGCCAAATTTCCTGCGACAAAATTCTCATTTTTGAGGAAAGTAATGAAAAGTGCTCCTTGAAACTTTCAGAACTTTTGGTGGAATTGCAAGGAAAATTATCAAAAAAATTTAAAGAAAAATATTGACAAGTTAACCAAGGAAATGCGTATTTTATCACAGGAAATTTGGCAACGCTTGAATGTTCATATGGCATTTTCCCTCATAACAGCAGTACTGCTAGGCATATTCATTGCTCTGGTGTTTTTGGTTGTCTTTTTGAACATGTTTCAGAGTATACATTTGAAATCTTTAGTTGCTTGCGCCTAGTCAATCAGTGGTGTGCTTGATAGATAGTGCAATTAGTTAGCAATTTTTGGCGTTTTGATAGTTGTAACCCACTTGTACGCACCAAAGGCCAGGCCTCTTGCCTGGAGGAGAAGAAAAATTGTGTTTTCTTTGAACCATGCTCCTTCTCTTTTTCCTCTGGTATACTAGTGACAAATCCCATCGTACCACAAAGCTCAGAGGCAGTCTGATAAGCCAACGTTAGGGCGTATCAAAGGCGGTGGCAGATGCTACCAAACGCGAAATTTGTAGAGTATGGAGTTCGTATTTTATTTTTAAATTCTGTATGAAACGGATTAAAAGAGACAGTGGGGCTATCTCTAACTGTCTTTTCATTTGTTGATTCATCAAAGATTGTGAATGAAATAAATCTTGTTGTGTGAAGCGAGAATTGTTTAATGAGCAGATCTCTAAGAATAATTCTCTCATTGATGATATCATTCTGAATCTGCCTGTACAAGCACCAATCATTTTCACACTTTTCTACTAAAATTACAACAGCCATTTGAAGCCAAATTGAGTGTACAATCAGTTTTAAAATATCTCATTCTTTCTTTCAAAAATCCCCTTGCGTGTTCAGAAAAGAGGCAAAAAAACATCGCTTTTGCAAGCCGCAACTTTTAATCACCGGTCGATCAAAGTATCACAAGCGTTGTTTGTGTGTAGACACTTTGTTGCCAAACTTCTCAAACTCGTCCAATTTTTTATACAAAAATTAATCAACAGAATTACTTGAAAATTTTATTCTTTTTTTCATTTTTTCATAATGGTAAATCCTTGAAATTTTTATGGATGTATGTGCACAAGTTTAAAAAAGAAAAAATTAAAACGATATTGAGATGGCCGGTGATTTAGCATCTAGGCTTAAATGGCACTTGTGATTCTTTGGAAAAAGGGTGTCGATCTCTACTTATGGTACAAAATAAATCTTAAAGCTCATTGATTATTTTTCCAACCCTCATCGGCAAAAGGGTCCGAATCATGTGTTTCACTATCGTCTTACAAAATTGTTAAAAAGCTGATTTCTTATTTGTATCAGACATAGGAAAACTGAATGGGTGGAAAGCAATTGAGGAAGACAAGTCTCAGCCGCACGAATGGATCGATGAAAACTCAGATTCGGAGTCAGGAAGTGATGATGACAGCATGGATGATGAAGATGATGATGATGACACGGATGACTCATCAGACTCAGAGGAAAAAATGGATACTGATTAATTGAAAGTCAGTTTTCCAAACCAATCAAAAACTAAATTCGTTAGGTACCCCAAATTGGATTCTTCTATATTTGTTCCGAATGAATGATCCTTTTTTTTCACAGAATGTGAGGGAAAAATCTTTTTGGACGTTTGTATTCAGCCTCTGAGTAACTTCAAGAATGGTGATGAAGAGTCCTTCCCCTTTGCCTTAAAAAGGGAAGGTTTGAATTGTTTCAATACTTGTGTTTTCAAGAATCTTTCAATGTTTTCTATTGAAGCCATTGTGCAAAATCTTTGTAAAAGGAGTTTTAATTCCATAAGTAAAACACTCCACCCTGAATTCATACAGATGAACTGTGAAATCAAGCTATGTTTTCATGGTGGAATCAATGTACACATATATTTATGTCCTTTTGGTCCTTTTAATTTTTTGAACTGAAAAGTTCTCAGGAAAAAGGGAGTAATTCATATCAGGCGTCGTTCAGGCGGTTCTAAATTTGCCAGAAAGTGTTGTAACATAAACCTCAGCAAAGTGTTGGACCTCAAAATTTATTTAGTATTTGGTATGATGTTAGTAAAGGGTACGAAAGACACATAAAAATGATCTGCGCTGGGAGGGCACTTCCAAGAAACTGCCTTCTCTGCATCCAACTCCTCAATTTGGACAACTCCCGATGTGACACACATACTTCTTTCTCCTTGCCCTTCAATTCATATTAGTTAAGATGCTAAACTTTTAGATGATGTTTACTCAGTGACCTTATGATCACACTAATAGCTCAAGAAAATGTTTGCTTCTGTTTTGTTGTCTAAATAAAAAATATTTTTTTTTTTATCTTTAAGTAGAAAGTGTAACTTTTCATAATTCTTCAAATCTGGATTTTAAATTTTCCCAAGTTTTGCAAATGATGAGAATGTATGAATAACTTTTAATACTGTTGCTGTCATGGTCTTTTTGAAGAGGAAGGACAGTCTCTTCAATCGATTAATTTATTTCCTGACTGTTAGATGACCATGTATCATCCCTTAGTAGCAGTAGTATGTAAAAAGTGATGAAAAGTTCAATACATACTCCTCAAAAGTGAAGCTAGAGGCACTGTAAATTTAAGATCAGTAATTCTGCCAACTTTTGGTAAGAAAACTTTCCGAGTTATATTTTTTGATAAAAAGTAACAATAATAATAAAAAAAAGATTTCCCTCCATAAGAAGTTTGTTTATTTCCGTCTTTTGTGTTTTCCTCTATAACTTCTTGATTTTCTGGTACAGCCAGCCCCCAATTGCTGGTAATTTATTGAGAATCCAATTTCTTGGTCTTTATGGGAAATGCCATCAGTATGAAATCGCAGAATGATAGGCCCGGATGCATAACCTGAAATGAGAACAAGATACACATGAACAAATTAATCTAGTGACAATATTTTACAACCAATTTTTGTCGGTTGTTTAAAATTCCCAAAGCAATTACTTATCAATAGTATCGTTAAATATTTTTTTTTGCCTCTTTTTTTCTTCTTTTTTTTCCCATTATCATTTTCCACACAATATATGACTTTCTTAAAAGCCATAGACCAAGATTGATTGCAGTTGTCGTCAAATTATTGAAAGAATCCCCTTGAAAGAGAGGGCCTGCATCATGAAGATGGCCACATAGTCGAAAAATGTGCTTCTCAGATCGTGACTTTGTGAGTTTCTACTCATGTAATTTTTTCCAAGGCTATTCAACCAATAGTTTTGTTGGAAAGCTTCTGCGAATGTTGTTCACTCATTTTATAAAATCATGCTAAATTGCATGAACACATTTTTATTGGTTTTCTTAGAGGAAAATGAAACATAACTCTGATAGACCAAAAAATGCCTCAAAATTGAAATCGAGGGATAAAATTGGTACAAAACTCAAGAAGAAAATATCCTAGCGGATGCATTCTAGAACATTTCTTGAGTTTTTTTTTACATAAAAAACCCATGAAAATTTGAGGATAACCCACAAAAAACTACTGTAGCATCAGGCGTCATGACGGCGTGCTGCTTGCGTGGGACACGCACTGGCGCCTACAAACCTAAAGGGATACTTCACGCATTGCGCAATGCTTGAAGTATCCCTATAGGTTTGTAGGAGCCAATGCGCGTTCCGCGCTGGCCGCCCGCCCGCCGCGCCGCCGCGTGCTACGGCGGATTCCACAAATGACTGACCTGTGTCGATTGATTTTTTTTAGCAAATATTTTTTTCGATTCTTTGATATAAAGATAGTGCTGCGTATGTATGGCTTAAGTGCAAAACCACATTTCCGTTTGCGACTTAGCAAACTACCTTTTGTTCTTTATTCTTATTCTTTGGAAAGCTTGTCAACTTAATTGCGTGGACAGTTCCTTGATTTTTCTTCTCTACTTGCAGAATATTTTGTATAAATTTCAAGCCATAAAGTTGCCTTGACCCTCTTCGAAACAACAAACTAGAGTGGAAAGTTTGAAACATTGCAATGGAGATCCATGGTTTAGTACTTTTGCCATCGGTCTTAAAGTCGTGAGTCTGTTGGACTAGGTTTAATTGTTAAATCAGCGCAATAAAATGAGACTGCACAAGCTCTTAGATTTTTTCCGATTTTTTGTGTCCGATTACTTTGCGAAGGTGCACAGTGGATCAAGTCAATAGGAGAGGTCGGACAAAATTTGGAAACTTTGGAGGCTTAGAACTCCGTTTATACAAAATTTTGAGGTTCCAAAAGTGGTTTCATTGGTTTTCTCGTGAAATTTTCTTGCTAAATCACCACCTGAAATGTAAAATGTGACGAAATAAACGCCAAAATTTACAGTTTTAGTTAGAAATTTCATGTCCGACCTCTCTCATTGACTCGATCCACTGTGTGGCGCCGGCGTGCCGCGGCGCTTATTCGAGCCACTATTTCGCCACGGAGGTGTTTCACAGTATCATAAGAGATTGAAGGCACCCCAACGTATCATGATTGATGGCATCTTTCAAAAGTACGAAGTTTCCTCGCAAATTAAATCGAGTGACGACGACAAAAAGAGAGCAGTAGTCGAAAAACTTCCAAAAAAAGTCCTAGTATCAGTATTCGATAACGTTTAGCATGGTTTTTGAATTTCATTAGAGGAGAAAGTGACAGTGATTCAAGCAGAAGTATGCTCAAATTTTCCTACCGCCGAGAAGATTTCCTTATGAATCAATAAAGAAAAGAACGCTTGTTTAAAGAAGAAAAGAAGCGTATATAAAAAGAAAAGTCACTTACATCAAGCAGAAACCGGCCTTCATTCAACTAATTTATTCTTGATTCAAAATAAAATCTTCTCGATGGTATACTTAAGAATGTTTCTGCCTAAATCGAGTCACTTTTTGATAAAATTAAAAAATTATGCTAAACGTTATTAAATACAGAAGCTAGGATTTGGTGAGTTTGTGGACTACCGCTCTCTTTTTGTATCGTGACTGTCTTCATTTATTTTGCGAGGAAAGCTCCGTACTCTCAAAGAAGGATCCCTGTCATTCTTAATATGTTGGAGCGTCTTCAATTTCGTATGATATTACGTGCAGCACCTCTGTTTTGAAATAGTTTCACAAGGCGCCGTAGCACGCTGCGGCGCGGCGGATGGCGGGCAGCGTGGAACACGCATTGGCGCCTACAAACCTAAGGGGATACTTCAAGCATTACGCAATGCGTGAAGTATCCCCTTAGGTTTGTAGGCGCCAGTGCGCGACCCGCGTAAGCAGCACGCCGCTCCGCTCTGTGTTAGGATCTAATTTTTTAACTCGCGGAGTCAGCGTATTTCAACTCATGATTTTGAAATGTTTGCACACTCTGCGACTATTCTCATTAAAAGTGAAAAAAAAAAATATATGTGTGAAAGGAAACTACAATACACTAAGTTGGAAGTTTTAGTCAATATGCGTTAGAATTCCGAAAACTGGAAATCTCAATCCATACACTCTTACTACACAGACTTATACACATACTATCAATACTCTAACTGGCTAAAAATTCCAACTTACTCTCCCACGACTCAAATATGACACGACTCAAATTTCATGACTCTTCTGTGTCAAATTTAATGATTTCCAAAGCGGTTCAATTTTCTCTTTCATATTTTGTGCTTTCACTGTGCTGCAGCGTGGTGCACGCGCAACCAACCCTCAAAATTGGACGTATTTAAGAAACCATATTTTCTAAAAGATCTAGCACCTAAAATGACATGTAAAATGAGGTAGCCTGCCGCACTTGGCTTGGAGTACCAGTTTCAGGACATACGCCGTCAACGATATTTTGTCTACGCACATGTTTGGCTCTAAATTGAACTCTAAAAGATCGATGTACAAATTGGTTAAAACCAAAGCTTGCGTGCTTCTTTGTTCTTTTCTCTTTCGTTTATTTTTAAACGGGTCCTCTCAACACAACTACGTCTTATTGAGATTAATATCGATGCTATCGCTTGGAAAAAGTTTTACAAATAGGTAGGTATATTTGCCGGTCACTAAATACAAGGAAACCAGACAATTCTGTTGTCTACCTTCTGTGTTTTTTCTATCTATTTCCTGAATTGTAAATTTCTAAGAAATAGATAAAGAAACTATCCAATTTTTCTCCATTTTCCATCAGATTTTCGGTTATTTTTTACTTAAGGAAATAGCCCTATTAATTTTCTAGACGGAAAATAGAATCATTTTGAAGAACAGAAAATAGACCTATTCTCTCTGGTAAATAGTGGACACTCACTCTAAAATTTCTGTCTACTTTCCATAATGCTAGCTGTTGGAACCCTATTGCCGTACAGTGCTGCCCTCTATGGGCTCTCTTTGTCAACTGCGTACTCTTACACTCTCTCTCTCTCTCTCTCGCCATGTTCCCGTTCGTTCATCACCCACCGCTGTACGTTTTTCATGTCGAATAAACCAGTCGTCTCCAAGCTAGACTAATTCTCAAGTTCTTTCATCCGTTTTTTCCTCTAGGAAACCTACAGCTAGCTAACTTTTCTTTATTTTCTAATTTTTTTCATTATTTTTTTTTTCATAAAATATTTTCATTTTGCCACTTGGGTGACTGGAACTTACTGGTAACGGTTGAGGGGACGGTGATGTTTTCGGGGGCGCTGAGGGCGTCGTCGAGGGCGAGCTTGTCGGCGTACTCGTTGACGGCCAGTCCGGAGAGGGCTTTGCCGCAGAACTTCTCCTCGTTGGTCACCTCGTGCGGCCCGTCCACCTCTTCCTGCTCCTCCTCGTCCTCCGCCACGGGCTCCACGTCCGTGTCCCCGATGTCCCGCATCCCGCCCGGGATGAACAGGTAGTCGTGCGTCGTCAGGTCGCAGCTCACCGTCCCCGCCCGCCCGATCCCGTCCGACAGCTCCGTCCCTGAGGGCACATCACAATAATAGCGTCAGTAAAAACCGGGAATGGAGATGTTGCGTGTGTGAGAAATTTGCGATTTGACCATTGATTCTTCTGTAATAGAATTCTTCGGTAATTCCTGTAATTCTTCGGTAGAATCGCGAAAAACATTGATTTTCATCAGCTATTCCGAGCTAAAAAGTTAGAAAAGTTCGACTTCGAACTTGGGCCCAAAGGAGACGGTTGATCATATTCAAGTAACGTGCCCAGATCTCCCTGACATCGTATTCGAACCTCGTGACCCGTCCCCTTTGGGCCCAGGTCAAAATCTCAGGTAGAACCGCAAAAACATGGACTTTCAGCGATTTTGGGCTCCGGAACCATGTTCAGGTCCCTGTTTCGCAGCCAAAAAATGTGAGTATCGGCAAAACTCGATTATTTCTGTTAAATTTGCACCCTCGAGCCTCGACCGTCATATATTAAAAAATTTCCCGATTTCAGGGAGGGGCCAATGGGCCTGTTGCAAACTTTTGCTAGAGCAAAAATGGACGTATTTCTACCAAACAGACCTATGTGGAGGTGAGAAATATGGGGTGTGCTCGTGGAAGCTGCATAGGAAGCAATGTAAAAAATGTGCGTGATTCCTTTTGAAGAATTGGAAAAGCGGGATATTGCATTCTATCAAACAGACCTATGTGCAACTGAATGCGGAATTCATGAGCCGCGGGCATGGCAAGAGAGCCTTGTGGACAGGGCTCATGAGTTAAACGGCGACGGCGGGGACGGTGTTTTTCCCTGGTACGGCTCCGTTGCCGCCGACGTCACTGGCGCTTTATTACTTTCATTCACTCTTACGCAAAGAGAACTAACGAGCGCACCCCATATTTCTCACTTGCACATAGGTCTGTTTGGTAGAAATACGTCCAGTTGTTCTTTACATAAGAATCAATAGTCAAATAGCAAATTCCTCACTCACCCAACATCTCCATTAAGAGATCTCTGGTCTTGAGTCAGAATTTCGGCCGTAAGAATCAATAGTCAAATAGCAAATTCCTCACTCACCCAACATCTCCATTAAGAGATCTCTGGTCTTGAGTCAGAATTTCGGCCGTCATACAGTGGATCGAGTCAATAGGAGAGGTCGGACAAAATTTGGAAACTTTTAACGCTTATAACTCCGTTTATACAAAATTTTGAGGTTCTTGAAAAGGTTCCATTGGTTTCCTCGTGCAATTTTCTTCTTTAAGCACCCCTTGAAATTTAAATGTGACGAAATAAACATAAAAATTTGCAGTTTTAGTAAAAAATTTCATGTCCGACCTCTCTAATTGTCTCGGTCCACTGTGCGTCGTCCGACGCAACTTCAATAGCAACGTCCAGATGCAACTATTCGTGCTCTATGTATGTCCGAGTTGCATACCTAATAACTTGAAGGCACACAAGATTCAAAATTATTCAGGGCTAATTTTCGTCCGGTTGAAGGTTGGAGCATTAGCTTTTTATCTCCATTCCTCCGCACGTCCTCGCCACATATCAACCAATTGATTTGAGGAAGAGGAATTGAGCCATACTTTGAAAAAAGGAAATGCAACTTCTGGCTCACCCGTCAAAAAATCTAGCCACATAGAGAAACAAATTACACAAACGTTGCGTCTGAAATGAGCCTGAAATCGTACTTCTTATAATCGAGATATTGCATGTGCGAGGTATTTGCGATTTGACCATTGATTCTTATGTAAAAGTTTGTTAGAAACACGATGGTGCCACTGGTTTTCACTGAAATCAACTCCCAAGCTCAAAAAAGCTCTCAAGTTGAGGCCAACATAGAGGGGATATCCCACCCTACCCTGAGAGTCCACCTCTACATCAAGACAAACTCTCCATGCAAAGATAGGGAGCAAATACATTAGCAGTGATGCCGTGTTTTCAGTTTTGGAGTCCCCAAATAAAGTGGCAACCCTGCTAAAGTATTTGCTCCCTATCTACGGATCTATGGAGAGTTTGTCTTGATGTAGAGGTGGACTCTCAGGGTAGGGTGGGATATCCCCTCCATTTTGGCCTCAACTTGAGAGCTTAGTCTGGGCTTGGGAGTTGATTTCAGAAAAAACCAGTGGCACCATCGTGTTTCTCGCGAACTTTTACATAAGTATCAAAAGTCAAATAGCAAATTCCTCACACATGCAACATCTCCAATAAAACGGGAAAGGGGTGGTTGCAATTTGGGCCGGAATCGGCTCCTCCCTGGAATCGGGAAATTTTTGAACATATGACGGTCGAGGTTGCATATTTAACAGAAATAATCGAGTTTTGCCGATACTCACATTTTTTGGCTGCGAAACAGGTACCTGAACATGGCTCCGGAGCCCAAAATCGCTGAAAGTCCATGTTTTTCGCGGTTCTACGGTCTACCTGTGATTCTGACCTGGGCCCAAAGGGGATAGGTCTCGAGGTTCGGATACGATGTCAGGGAGATCTAGGCACGTAACATACTTGAATATGATCAACCGTCTCCTTTGGGCCCAAGTTCGAAGTCGAACTTTTCTAACTTTTTAGCTCGAAATAGCTAATGAAAATCCATGTTTTTCGCGGTTCTACCTCAGATTTTGACCTAGGCCCATAGGGGACGGGTCATGAGCTTCGAATATGATGTCAGGGACACCCAGGCACGTAACATACTTGAATATGATCAATCGTCCCCTTTGGACTCGAGTTCAAAATCAAACTTTTCTAACTTTCTTATAAAAGTCAAAACACCGAGCCATCAAATGAGACTGCTGTATTACAAATAACCTCTCTCTCGCAAAACTCCTTCAAATCGTTCAATATGCAATTTGATCTCCAGGGAATGAAAATAGTTGCTCGAAGTCAAAGAAACTGAGGACAGAGGTGCGCAGCGCTCTTCATTGATCATCAGTCAATGAGAAATGAAATTAAAGACTACAATATATGTCTCGACATCGAATATTCGTATAGAACACGGGGAGTATACCTACATCAAAAATGTTCAAATTCAACTCATGAGTAAGAGAATACAGATTTTCACGCGTCATTCGGACTCTTCGCACAAAAAAAAAAAAAAAAAAAAAAAAAAAAAAAAAAAAAAAAAAAAAAAAAAAAAAAATAGTTAATGATGCCAAATGAATTGGTAACAATTTTCTGGCAAACGAACAAATCGTCCAATAAAGGCATCAACTGATGTCTTTCGGTCCCTTGCTTTGGAAGAACACTTGATTGATCTCAAGGAAATACCTTACCTTCGAACGAGCTAATGCCGAACTTCGATCCTTCGGCCTGTTGGTACTCAACCCTGCAAGTGTTGATGGACCGTTTGATGCAGATTGCATAGTCTAGATTGGTTTGATAAAGTCCACCAGCGTAATTGAAACTTTGCACGTTTCCTGATAGGTCAGTGAAATATTGAAGACACCCGTTTGGAGCTGTAGAGAAAAACAACGGAACGTAGTCAATTAGGCAATTCCCAAAAACAGAGAGTAGCCAACCGGATTTGACCAGTATAGATTGACAAACAATGGCTGTGATATGAGACTTTAGGGGTTAAAAGCTGCAACAAAAGTGAATAAAATGTGGACCCAGCACTATGACACCATCCGGTTACTTGCAGTAGGTACTCGAACCAGATTTATTTTTATTTATTTATTTTTTTATTTTTTTTATTTTTTTTTTTTTACAACTCAAACACCTAGGTATGGAATTTGCTCAAATTTTCTGATGCACATTTTTTTAATTGATTTAGAGCGATCTTAAAACAGAAGACACGTGGAAGAACCGGAACTTACCCATAAGTTGTACCTGAGTTTTGCAGTCGATCTGCGTGATACGGATTTTCCACAAGTGTGGACTTCCGCCGGAAGTCATGACCATCAAAGATACAGTAAAACCGGCCACTGAAGGATCCACCGGAACGTACACTGAAAAAGAAAAAAGGAAAAAGAGAAAAGAAAAAAGAGATAGAAATAAAGTATTTAAACGGCCTTATGTTGCACTCTGCACATCGCAACATTAAACTCAAGAGCTACACACGTACTTACAAAAAAGTGTTACCTACTTCGTCGCTCTGCAGTTGTAGTTTGAAGCGGATACCTAAGACTATTCTTAATTGGAGTGCTTTTTGCAGTAAAGAACTACCATTCTTATCTCATTTTAGAAACATCGTATGTCCCATTATTTTCCTCATGCAGATAGATTCGTTCATGTATGGGCAGGGAGTAAGTAATTTTTTTCACGACTCAACAGAGCATGAAAGAGGGCCACGCAATAATAAGAAGAAAACCTGCGATATAACGCAGGATTATATGTTCAGAAGAATTAAAAATCAATTTTTTTGTGTTCAAAAGATCACCTAACCGCAAATTAAAGCGCATGTATGTTCCGTCTTCTTATTGATTTTATCATCCTCCCAGTAATTCTGTTTTCAATATGAGGTAATTTCATCAAGTTTGTTAAAAATGGGTGAATTTTGTGGAAGCACGGTAAAGGTACCAGGAATTTCTGGTGATCAAAACTATCCAGAAAGTTGGTAATGTTGACAACTTTATCAGCGGAGCGGAGAGTAGCTTGTACTGTGTAACCTGTAGATAATTCCCAGTGCGGTAGCCATATACTCACAGTGCTGTCCTTTGTTTTCCCCGCAAAGATCAGAGATGCCTGATCCATTCGGTAGAGAGGTAGTGACCATGAATCGATCTTTCCGACAAACGCCTATGTTTTTGTGCGGGCCTTTCATCGAAAACTCCTCAAAATCTAATCTGCAATAAATGCGGAGATACAAAACTTAAAACAAATGCGCTAAAGTACCATATAACTCTGATCAAAAGTCATGCTTGAGCTATCCAGAGGCATGATAACTCGGCTTGCATTTTGCAAAAAGGAAACCAAGAGCATTCCAATGTCGCTAAAATCATGCAACTTTTCTTACCTTGCAAAAGTAAACTGATCATCTAAACAAGTTTTATCTTTACTTCCAATACACTATAAATTCAAGATAAAAATTGATTTTAATAATTGTATTGCAAGTAATGTAAGTTGCACAATCCTGGCAACATTGGAATGCTCTTGGTTCCTTTTTGCAAAATGCCATTCGCTTATATATTTTTTTAATAAGTCAGTGAAAGTAATCATTGAATCTTGTCACAATGGTTGAATTTTATGGATCAGTACAACGCCTTTTGATTTTAGTAATCAGCACATACATATAGTTTAACTTAGCTTAAATGTGTGCAACTGATTATTTGTCTTTATTCACCCGAACGATTTCCAAAAGTCTTAATGATAATCATCCTAAATTTGACTAAATTTTGAAGATTAGCTCTAAAAAATATTTGCACTCAGTCACTAACAAGTCTATTTTCTAAAAAAAAATCTTCCTCGCACTTCTACCTCTCTTTATTAATACTTTCCTGCAAAACGCACCGCAACCAGGATGCAACTATTCGTCCTTGACTGTTGTCCTTGTTGCCTACGCAAACAATTAAAGGCGCACTGGCCCTCGTATGGTATAGACGGAAGAAGTACAAATACTCCTGCTCAAAAGCTATCTGTGTTGCGTATGTAAAAGGATGAGGGCAAAGCTGTAGCGTTGGAGCAACTTACCTAATTTGACAAATGTTTTGATTGTTGATGTCAATTCGGAAGTCACAGAAAGAAGACTCCCGATTCTCTGAGGGAAAATTTGGATTCACAAAATATGATATGATTTCTTTAGTGGCGCCATGACACGTTCTCTCGACTGTAATTAAAAGAAGCGTACACTTTAATCATCATCTATTATCAAAACTTTTTGACATCATGTAAAATCTTCCGGTTATTAATAGTATTGAAATATTCCTACATGTCCGAGAGGTTTGGAGTTTCAAGATGTTTTGTTGAGTGCGCATACATAAATTATTATTGGAGGTCAGTGGCGTGGCGTGAATTGCGATATATCGATTGTTATGCCATTTAAACCTATGAAAAAAGATCGATTATCAGGGTGTTCGCAGCGAACACCTTAGTAATCGATTCTTTACCATAGTTTCAAATAGCGAGATATCGATAATCGATTATTCACGCCACGCCACTGTTGGAGGTGTCTAATTTTTCTGTTCTAAAGATTTATCTTTAAAATTACGAATCAGCTTTAATATTTAACTGGGCCTTTTAATTTAAAATGAAGGTGGGCAAAATTATTTAGACATCACTTATAGATATATTTTATACTAGCCGCTCTGGACGCGCTTTGCGCGTGAAATAGTTGCTTGAGGCGCCGCGCCGTGGCATGCTGCCGCGCGGCGCGGCGGCCGGTTGGCTAGCGCCTACAAACCTAAGTGGATACTTCAAGCATTGCGCAATGCGTGAAGTATCCCTTTAGGTTTGTAGACGCCAGTGCGCGTTTCGCGCTGGCAGCACGACGGCACTGGACGCGGATGTGGACGGCACGCGAGTGGCATTCGGCTCGCTGCGCAAGCCATTTTTCTTAGTGGTTGGACATTTGATCACCAAGATGTATACATTTCGGAGACTCTCAAAACAAAAATGATTTTGTCACAGAACCTCGTTACCGAAACGTCCCATCATTTGAACATTAATAAATATATGAAGATGAAGTAGTGAGAGGGATCGATCATTTCTTCAAAAACGCATTTGACTGGAACGTCAGTCCTATCGGGCGGAAGAAAGTGACAACCGTGGGTCTCCTTCCGCGATTTAACTCGCTAAAGTAGCAAAAGTTCATCTTTAATTCTCGAGAAGACTATCGATGGCGCAGGGGTCTAAAAAAATGCTCAAGCATGGTTCGAGTCCCGAATCGCTATGAGCCCACTCGTGTTTTTTTATTATACTTTTATTACATTAAAATTTCTCTGATGTTTCTGTTTTATTCTCTCTGATTGCACAAGTAATTATGTCCTCTTTCATTTCCTTTCCCTTTCATTTTTCCTTTTTTGGTGGCATCTGTGTCCATTTACAGTTATTATTTTAAAATAGTTTTCCCTAGTATACATTTGAAGCTTCAAACGGAGCTTAATTGTTTTAATGAAATTTCCCGCTAAATCATGGGTTTTCCGAAGAAGGCAGCCTCTCGCTCTCGTTCCTCCCAGACTTTATAACGTTGCCAGACACTTTCCTTTTTCACGACTTTTTCCAGTTTAAACCCATGTAAAATATTCTCATTAATCGCACAATCTGGCAACCTCTCGAGTGAAATAGAAAAAGGTGGAATCGCTTAAAAGTGAAATCCTTCGAAGTTTATATTAATGATATAGATAAACCTTTTTAGATAAATCGGAAAAATCGCGTTTCGTAACCAAAGGACTTGGAGACTGAGGTGCACAAGTGCAGTTTTTGCCATGTTTTGAAACACGTGTTTAGAGTTTCAAAATTACATGCGGGGCCTATGATGGAAAGAAAACTGAGACTCACTCTTTGATGCTTAAACATTGAATTTTGTGGTGAATTTCCACAGGATTTATATGCTAAGATTACTTCTACTTATAATCATTAGAATCTCAATTATTTTTTTTTCAAAAACTGCTCTTAACGCCTCGTCTTCCAAGCCCCTTAATTTGTCGCTCCTCTGACGTAAGGACGTATCAGAATTTTTTTACGAGCTCGGAAAAGCATGGAGTCATATGGAAAACAAGTCTCAGGTGGAAACAGGATTGCCACAGAGTTTAGAAAATAAAATTCCCTGACATTTCCCTGACACATTTTGGTGAAACTCCCTGACAATTGAAGATATGACAGATGGTTAAGAGGACATAATTGAAAATAGTTTTCAGGCAAAATTTGTTGTTCGAAACATCAAACCCATTATAGAGAGCAAACAAAGGCGATTTAACACATTTTCCCGTACATTTTCGTCATTTTCCCTGACTATTCCCAGTTTTCTCTGACTTTTTAGAATTCCGTGAGTTTTCCCCGTTTTCCCGGTATTTTCTGACGGTCGCAACCCTGAAATGGACCGCGCTAAACAGAAAGAAACAAAGTCACATCAGCTATTGCCAAATTTAATTGGGCAATTTAATTTTTTACATGAAAACGGTTGTGCGGAATTTCGTGCAAATTTCAGTGGATATTTTCCATAATACGAAGCAAATTCCTTAAAAATTTCAAAGGAATCCCTACAAACGTTCTCTCGTAAAAAATTAAATTGCCCCGTTAAGTTTGGCAATAGCTGATGTGGCTCGGTTCCTTTCTGCTAAATCTGCCGTGCTAAGGAAAAATGCCATGGGAACTTCCAGGCATTGTCAAATTTAGATTGATGAAACACGAATTTTCTGATGAACTAATTAATATTTTTTTTCCAATTTTTCAGATAATACTTTTCCCTATTTCACCTAAAGCCCCTGAAAACTTCAAGGAACAATATTCATAACTTTCCTCAAGCATAAACATTTTACTGGAGGAAATCTGGCAACTCTCGAATGTTCATACGACGTTCTTCCTTAGCACGGCAGAAATGCGGCCCGTTTTGCAATAAGGAGCCACCATTTCTGGCTCATCCTTAAAAGGACCTATCTGCACACAGTTGACAATTTTAATTTGCCAATGGCTAATGTGGCGTGGTTCCTTTCTGTTAAACACGGTTCAAATCGAGTAACGCACTACGTCAGAGGGGCAACGAATGGAGATGTTGCATGTGTAAGGGATTTGCGATTTGACCATTGATTCTTATGTAAAAGTTTGCGAGAAACACTATGATGCCGCTGGTTTCCCTGAAATCAACTCCCAAGCTAAAAAAAAGCTCTCAAAGTGAGGCCAAAATGGAGGGGACATCCCACCCTACCCTGAGAGTCCACCTCTACATCAAAACAAACTCTCCAATTCTCCATGCAAAGATAGGGAGCAAATACATTAGCAGGGTTGCCGTGTTTTCAGTTTTGGAGTCCCCAAATAAAGTGGCAACCCTGTCAATGTATTTGCTCCCTATCTTTGCATGTAGAGTTTGTCTTGATGTAGAGGTGGACTCTCAGGGTAGGGCGGGATATCCCCTCCATTTTGGCCTCAACTTGAGAGCTTTTTTTGAGCTTTGGAGTTGATTTCAAAGAAAACCAGTGTAACCATCGTGTATCTCGCGAACTTTTACATAAGACTCAACAGTCAAATCGCAAATTCCTCACATATCGACGGTGAAACTACCAAACCACGTATCTCGGTTTGCGACGTCGCAGACTTCCTGTCATACTTATATATATATGAGTCGCTTTTATAGCGCTCTTTGGCGCTGTGCGACGCCTAATCGCCACAAAGCTCGGTCTTCCCACAGGTCATCAGGGAGTTGACAATCTCTTATCTCATTTAACACCCCCTGTCGCCAACNTGATTTGGTCTACCTCAAAAAAATAAAATGTGAGCGTAGATTTTTAAACACCGCAAACGAGATACGTGGTTTGGTAGTTTCACCGTCGATATGCAACATCTCCATTTTAATTTGCCAATGGCTAATGTGGCTTGGTTCCTTTCTGTTAAACGCGGTCCAAATCGAGTTACGCTCTACGTCAGAGGGGCAACGAATTGATGGCAAGTCCTTTCGGCAAGATTGGTTATTTTACGTACCTTTGCAGCAGACTCCATCGCTGACGGCGCATTTGCCGGTGTTGAGTCCGGCGAGCTCGCGGCACTTCTCGGCGGAGTAGCAGATCCCGGAGACGCCGTCAGTGCCGCGACAGACTGCCATCTCGACGACGGTCTTCTTGTTCTTGGCCGCGCTACTCTGGCCCGTCCGCGTGGCGCTGGACCCTGACGAGCCGGACCCTGTCCCGGTGCCCTTCTTGCTGGCGTAGCGAGTCGCCGTCGACTTGGTCTTGGTGCCCACCCGGGTCGAGTGCTTCGTCCGACTCGGGGCCGCCCGCATCAGCAGCGCCTGGTACAGGCTCGCTGCAACACGTTGCAAATCTGAGAGCGGTCAGTCAGCCGCGCAAGACGGAATTAGAGTCCCTTTACACTGAGAGTCAAGACAATGCGAATCCATTTCTGATTGGTTAACCGGATTTTAGGCCTTCACAGTGTCACAAACGGGAATAAAGATTACATTTTCACCAATTGCAAAGATTATAATCTGGAATGGACCGAGGAATTTCGGGTTCGACAAGGAACAAACGGAATGAAAGAAGGAACGGAGAAAGGAATTTAAGAATGAGCCGATCAAAGATTACGAAAAACATTCAATTTCTGTAATCTTTATTCCCGTTTGTGACTCCATGAGGGGTGTTGTCTTGACTCTCAGTATAAAGGGACTCTAGACGGAATCGTCGATTTCTTGCGGCGCACAGTGGAATGAACCGATCTGAGAGTTCGGACAAAATTCAGAAACTTTAAACGCTTGTAACTCCGTTTTAAAACTTTGAGGTTCTGAAAGTGGTTCCATTGGTTACGTCGTGAAATTTGCTTCTGGAAGCGCACCTTAAAATTTAAAATTTGACGAAATACACAAACATATTTGCAGTTTTAGCCAAAAATTTCATGTCCGCCCTCTTTAATTGACTCCTTTCACCGTGTGCCGCACGGTGGATCGAGTCAATCGGACAGGTCGGACATGAAATTTTTGGCTAAAACTGCAAATATGTTTGTGTATTTCGTCAAATTTTAAATTTTAAGGTGCGCTTCCAGAAGCAAATTTCACGACGTAACCAATGGAGCCTCTTTCAGAACCTCAAAGTTTTAAAACGGAGTTATAAGCGTTTAAAGTTTCTGAATTTTGTCCGGACTCTCCTAGTGACTCGATCCACTGTGCGGCGGTAAGGTATCGGAGCTCTTGCATGCTACGGGGATTGTCATAATTTGTCATATAAAACCATACTAAAATGACTTTCGCAAAAATTTAAAAAATGAAGGGATCGTTTTCCAGCAATCCAAGATTGCATAATATGCATCCAGCACATGAATCTGCTGAAGGACATTTAAAAAAAGGAAAAAGTCGACTTCAGGCCGATGTTCGCATCCTTAGATGCAACTCAGATCCGTGACTTTATGATGAAGATTCGAAGTTATGAACATGAGGATACGGCAGCCATAGACCACTTATGGAACATCAGAAATGTATTATCATGAAGAAGTATACGAAATGTTATGTTTGTTCTCAATTTTCTCAAACCTACCAGATATAGGTTTAATGCATTAGGGACCTTTTTTTCAAATTTAATCAAATTAAAATCAAATTTAAAACCATTCACCATTTGAAACTCTTTTTATAATCTCAAATTCTTTTTGTTGTTGCATTTATGGCTTTCTAAAGGGTTGGTTTGTACCTATATATTTTCTAATAATTATTTTTCAATTGTAAAAAAGCAATGCCTCTCAATGTGTGTCTTTATCCTAAAGCTTATACCTCCATGCTGCACTGAGGTATCGAAAACGAGTGATAAAACTAATGATCCGTTTAAATCTACTTTTTTTACTTCAAAATTCTTCAGAATTCCTCCTTCATTCTTATGGAAAAAGGCGAACGTAAGTCTAAAATTTCAAGATAGCCTTAAGGGATACTAAAAATTTTTCTCCCGAAAAATTATCTCAGAACTTACAAACAGATGTTGACCCATCCTTCGAATTCTCAAGAAAATTTTTTGACTAGAAAATCACTTTATTGCCCCTTCTTTAAAGGGGCTTGGAGGACAATGCGCATAAGTGCAGTTTTTTAAAAAATTGAAATATTAATGATTTCAAGTGAAACTATAGTCTTAATACATGTTCTGTGAAATGTTCGCTCCCAAATTCCAATTTTCAAGCATCAAGAAGTTTGTTTGAACTTCCTTCCCGCGGCAAGAATCCATGTAATTTCGATAATTCAAACACGTGTTTCTCGAAATAGCAGAAACTGCACTTAGGCGCTTTGTCCCCCGAGCCCCTCAAATCCAGTTCCATGCACTCACGTTCGTTTACCAGAAACTGGCTCATTTAGGTATGAATAAAAATAAACAATGCAATTCTTACTTCGATGGTTTTTACTCTCGGTGACATCGTAATTTTCCGACTTTTCCACACACTCGAAGCACGATAACAACAAGGAGACGAGGACCAATAGAAGCCCAGGTTGCACTTGCACTCCGGTAACGACGACCATTCTCGAGGCACGTTCACACCGAACTTGAACTTGACGTAACGCCACGCCACGCTCAAGTCATCGCCCCGATCTGCACTCCGTCCAAAGTTGCCGAATTTTCAAACACAGGTACTTGTTTCAAGGCAGTGAGCAAAATCGAAATATAGACCTCAATAGACGATCAAATTCCCGAACCAATGGATATGTTGCATGTGTGAGGAACTTGCGATTTGACTGTTGATTCTTATGTAGAAGTTCGCGAAAAACACGATGGTGCCACTGGTTTTCTCTGAAATCAACTCTCAAGCTCGGACTAAGCTCTCAAGTTGAGGCCAACATAGAGGGATATCCCACCCTACCCTGAGAGTCCACCTAGGTACATCAAGCCGAACTCTCCATGCAAAGATAGGGAGCAAATACATTGACAGGGCTGCCACTTTATTTCGGGACTCTAAAATTGAAAACACGGCATCACTGCTAATGTATTTGCTCCCTATCTTTGCATGGAGAGTTTGTCTTGATGTAGAGGTGGACTCTCAGGATAGCGTGGGATATCCCCTCCATTTTGGCCTCAACTTGAGAGCTTAGTCTGAGCTTGGGAGTTGATTTCAGAGAAAACCAGTGGCACCATCGTGTTTTCCGCGAACTTTTACATAAGAATCAACAGTCAAATCGCAAATTCCTCACACATGCAACAACTCCATTACCATCAAAGTGACGGGAGTCATCAGTCTTTACTTCGCCTAATTTCTAAATGAAAACCTGGCAGAAATGTTACATGTGGTAAGAAATGATGACGGGTGGCACTCCATTCTGATCAAAATTTGACGGCCCGTCCAATTTTGATCAAAGAGAACTGTTGAATGGTGAGCATCAGTCATCAACTGGTCTACTCTGATCGGAATTGGTTCAGAAATTGATCTTGTATCGAGAGCTTATCGTAAAAACTGCTCTATCGGTTTTTTATCTCATAAAATTGGACTTATTGCTGCTGAACGGAACTAGAGAAGTATGGAAATGGTCGGCTGTGCTCGTGGTGAACTGCATAAGAAACCCTCTAAAAAGGCGAGACTCCTTTCGGGGATGTGGAAAAGCGGGATTCACCATTAAATCAAACGGAACCAAGCGCCAACTGTATGCTAACTCATTAGGCGTGGGCATGTGACAAAAGCGTTGTGGACAGGGCTCATGAGTTAAAGAGACGTGGCATAATTGGACCGAGTTTATCAGGAAGGAACCAACCCGCATTTTCGAGAAAATTGAGTTAAGAATGTTTTTAAATGCCTCTAGTTCTGTATTTCCTCGTGCCAAAATCTCCAAGTCGAAAAAAATATTAGTTTGTGGAAAGAGGGGTTAAAGTTTACATTCTACATTGAGTCTTATGAAGGAATAAAACTTCAAACCTCTTTTTCTCTGGTCCAACTTGATGTGAGTTGGTTCTTTTCTGATGAAATCGGTCCAATTCATCGCGAGACAAGATTTAGGAATTCGCAAAGGAAAGTGCAAATTGCCGTTCCCGTACACGGAGTTTGTTTTGTGGCCTACCACGGCAATTGAAGGCGATATAATAACGGCGGGAGTGCGTTGCCTCCTCACCCCGGTCGCGTTCCGATAACCGATTGATTTTATTTGGCATCGTTGCCACCGACAACTCATCAACCATCAATCAATCTTGGCGCTAACAAGGCCTATGAACGATTCGGACCCCCCGCAATCAGGGGTCCTGAGTGGCCCATTGTTTTTGGCCAAACTTTATTTAACGGTTTGAATCAGGCGCGCTACGAGGACCGCTAGAGCGCATTCTTGCACTTCCCACGTCCTCAACTCGTCGCTCTTTTGACGTAAAGCGCGTATCTCGATTACCGTATGAGCCCCAGAAAACATAGATTCATATGTAAAACAGGGCTCACGTGGAAATTGAGGTACGCCCCTTCGTCAGAGCAGCGACGCGCCGCTTTGTTGACTAGGGCAAAATCGATATTTAAGGCAACGCGATGTTTCAATATACTTCTTCGGGTTTACAAATTACAAATGCAATCGTTTAGACAAATAATTTAATATAACATTTTCACTTAAGACAATAACGGTTATAGGTAAGACTACTCATTTCGATTACTGGAGACTCGAGGAATCAGGATTCGAGTTGCTGCGTTCCGGACTCCAGCGTGGTCGAACTGGCGTGCGATATATTGTGTCGATTAAGTACTAAATCTCTGCAGTTTTTTAATCTTTAGCCGGTAATATGGAGAGCCCCTGAATGCATTAGTCTGCAAAAATTAGTCTGAATGCTTATTCTGCAAAAAATTCGCTTCCAAATTCCAATTTTTAAACATCAAAATGCCAGTTTGAACTTTCTCTCCGCCGTAAGGATCCATGTATGGATCTGTTTTTAGCTAAAAATGTTAAGTGAAACCAGTATTTTAACAAAACTTGTTAGATACCTCAATGTTTGCTCACTGCTACCGTATAGATTCAAAAAAGCTCTCCCTAGCATTAAAATATTCCGCGAAACCTCAGGTTAGCTGCACCCTTAATTTAAAAAAAAAAAAAAACGTGAGGGAAAACAAAAGGGAAATTTTAACGTGATTTTAATAAAGATGATAAGGGAGAGATTAAGTTACGCCAAGTAGACGCATACGTTACAGTTTTATTTACCCAGTTTAGTTTTTGATGTTAATAAACATATTGGTATAATTTACTTCATTCGAGAAAAATGCGTTAAGTACAAGCTTGTACTGGCTCATTCAACACGACAGACCCTCGAATGGTATCTTGAATCTATGCATAAAGGTCGTAACAAGTTTCGCTTTCAGTCTGGAACACATAAATAAAGTCCACTCTTTATTTCCCATTAATTTTAAAGAGTAAAGTTAATTAAAAGCGTCGTTATCTTAGTTATCTGTGATGGCGTAACTCTCTCCCGTGAATTATTTTCGCGTTGAGATCATAATAGCTGGAAAAAATTAAATTAACCTTTTTCCGTTGACGAGCTGTGCTGTTGGTCGCCAAAAAAAATGAGATGTCAGATTCTACTGTTGTCATGGTGAAAATTATCTGAAAGTTCATGACCTATGTACGTACGCACAGCCTGTTTCTATTTGTTAATTTTTTATCTGATGGTGGTGATTGTCTCTCCCTATTTCTAAATTCACTTACTAGTGTACATGTCACATGCAAATTGTCGGATCAGGCTTTTTATCAAATACCCAATCAGCAAATGGCGACGGTTTGAAGAAACACCAAGTTTTGCATGTTTCTCATACAGATTTTTATTTTTTCTCCACTTTAATTGGAAAATTGACGAAACCCTGAACATTTTTACTCGAGATCATCCAAAATTTTTCACACTATTATCTACCGTCATACTGCTAAAAACTCTGTATTTTATGGAAAATAAAGGCAATTTTGCGATACATTTCCACTCAACCTGATTCCCTAAAATAGCATGAAGCGCTGAGCTATTTTACTATCAAAGGATTTTTACCTATATGTATACATATTTGTGTGGTAAATTTTTTCTGTAAAAAACCAGGAAGTTTCTAGAATCTAAATCCACGCTAAAACAAAGGATTAATTCCCCAACTTATTCGACAAAAGGCCCAATTTGGCAATTAATTAGTCCGTATCGTTCAGGTGATCTGGACCACATTTACGAAAATCTATTACCGGTAAATTTATAAAAAAAAAATTACATTTTATCTCATCCTTCGCAAAGAATCTTGGAGAGAGCGATTAAATGAAATATTTTCTGTTTAAAAAACGGCAACGTCTTCGAACGAGACTTACAGCAAAATTATGGTCATTTTTGGGTGACACCATTGTCATAGGTAGAGTATCAAGAGTTCGTATGCTGCCATGATTGCGGAGAGAGCAGCAAGTGCATTTCTGTATGAGCCATGCAGTGGCGTGGCGTGCTTTTCGATCTATATCGATATTTCCCCATTTGAAGCTATGGTAAACAATCGATTATTATGGTGTTCGCTGCGAACACCCTGTTCATCGATCCTTCTCCATGGGTTTAAATGGCACAACAATCGATATATCGCAATTCACGCCACGCCACTGGAGCCATGGTTATGTCTCGAGGTTCATCCCAGCATTCACTTACTGCTATCTTCTCTATCACGGCAGTATGATCCTCGGGACTTTTTTGCTTAGTAAAGGTATTTGCAATGACGTCATTGATAACGCCACACAGCTTATCTCTGAAAGTTGGACCTGAAAGTTGGACCTGAAAGTTTTAAAAGCTGCTTCTCGCGAGCTAGGATCTGTACTCAGGTTTAACTCTCGGTACCTCCTGGTAAAAGGAAGCACTCCGCCGTGCTAAGGAAAAACGCCGTATGAGCCTTTCGACGTTGCTAGATTTCCTTCACTAATAAACGACTTTACAAGGAAAATTTTGAAGATTTTCCTCTAAATTTTTTAGACGATTTTGTTCAAAATTTCATCTCAAACATCTGAAAATTTCAAAGGAAAACATGGATAACTTTCCACAAAAATACATGTTTTACCTGGGGAAATTTGGCAACTCTCGAATGTTCATACAGCGTTCTTCCTTAGCACGGCAGCGCTGCAAGCTGCATAAATAGGAACCCAACGAAAGTTTACACGACGCACAGTGGAAGAACTAATAAAAGAGGTCGGAGATGAAATTTTTAACTGAAACTGCAAATTTTGATAATTCATTCGCATAATTACGTCACATTTTGAACTTTAAGGGGTATTTTACGACGAAAATTTCGCGAGGAACCCAATGGAACCACTTTTAAAACTTCAAAGTTTTGTATAAACGGAGTTATAAGCGTATTCAAAGTTTCCAAATTTTGTCCGACCTCTCCTATTGACTCGGTCCGTGTGCGACGGTGCGCAAAAATAAAATTTATGCTAAAAGGAACTATGTCTCACGCAAACCTTATGCACATAGTTTCTTTTAGCATAAATACGTCCAATTTCATCACAGAGTTGGCGCTAAAAACATAGTCGTTAGGTTTTTTTTTTTTTTTTTTTTTTTTTTATCCGTACTCGCC